AAGGCACAAGGATGATACCTGCATGGCTAGGAGAGGTCCTCAGAGACCCCAGCCAAGCTTCAGCGACTAGGTTTGAAGAGCTCCGTTTTGGATGGAGGATGCTGACTTGGCAGAGGTACTCAGCTGGAGTACGGTACGGGAGCTCCGTCCCACTAAAAGTGTGGACATCTCTGTCAAATAACTTTAAAATAAATGAAAACACTGGGGTTTGCATTCCTTACTTTTTTTTTGTCATCCTACTTTTGCGAGCAGTTATTTTCAGTCATGATTTATATTAAGATTGGCAGATGACATGAGTGCAGCGGGGCTGTAAAAATTACTGAGTATGAGCTAAGGTTTAACAAACGGTCATTATGCATACAGCATCAGAAGTCCCGCTAGGCATGCCCCAAAGAACACGTTCATTGTAGTCCTTTTAACACACTAGTGTAGTTTAAAGCGGCACTGTCACCGTCTGGGGACTTTTCCGAATTCGAAAAGACCCCCAACGGTGACATCGCTGCTGAAGGGCCAGTGCCTGGGGGGAGGCAGGAAGGTGAGATTTACTTACCTGAACCTGTCCCTCACAGACACAGCCATCTTGTTCTGGCTTGTCTTATTCATCCAGGAGCCAAGCGTGAGAGTACAACACGAGACCGCAGGAACCTCCATCGACAGAGCCAATGTTGGAATTGACTCTGTAGCTCCACCTGAAGTCTAAGAAACTCAGGCAGAGGAAATATACAAAGACAAAGTATCTCTTCTTTATATATATTTTAGTGAAATTCCAACACAGCAAAAATGAGTATTTCATAAAGATTCCATTTGCACCTTTATGAAATATTTATTTGGAGGGGTGGTTGGGGGGCGAGGAGGCAACATTGTATCAACACTCTTTTGTTTAAAGGACCACTCTAGTGCCAGGAAAACATACTCGTTTTCCTGGCACTATAGTGCCCTGAGGGTGCCCCAACCCTCAGGGACCCCCTCCCGCCGGGCTGGATGGAGAGGAAAGGGTTAAATCTTACCTTTTTCCAGCGCTGGGCAGGGAGCTCTCCTCCTCCTCGGCTGAATGCGTATGCGCAGCAGGAGCTGCAAGCGCATTCATCCAGTCTCACAGGAAAGCATTCCTAATGCTTTCCTATGGACGCTTGCGTCTTCTCACTGTGATTTTCACAGTGAGAAGCACGCAAACGCCTCTAGCCGCTGTCAATGAGACAGCCACTAGAGGCTTTAGAGGCTGCATTAACCCATTTATAAACACAGCAGTTTCTCTGAAACTGCTATGTTTATAAAAAAAAGGGTTAATCCTAGAGGGACATGGCACCCAGACCACTTCATTAAGCTGAAGTGGTCTGGGTGCCTAGAGTGGTCCTTTAATAACATTGGACACGTTTAGAAATGTCCAGTGAAATAATTTCAGTGGAAATGCTCATGTTATTTAATAAAATCATTTTCATGAACAGACCCCTTTTCCGTGTGTTTTTTTACTAAGATAATTTACATGGGTGATTGTTAGGTTAATTATGAGATTAACTAATATTCCATTACTGACAGAGTTAACGTTAGCCAGTCTCACAGTAACTCTTTCAGTATTAAACCTTACTGTGATGCACACTGTTGTGTACAGTCATTTTGTACCAAACAAACATTCTGTCAGTGTTTTTTATATGCGGAGCTGGCACTTTGAAGTTTGGATCTTGGCTTCATGCAGGCAATTGGGCACTCAGGACCAAAAACATTCGCCACCACTGGGCTATAACATTCATCAGCCACAATAAAAAAAGTTTTATTTTTTTGTTTTTTGTTTTTAAAAAGTTACCTGCGCACTGAAATCCCATGAAAATTTAAATAAGTAAATTTGTCTACAGTCATTTTTATACAGTTTTCAAAATATTCATATTCATTTTTTTGTATGGGATATTTTTAAAGGCACACTCCAAGAACCATAAACACTACGATCCCAGGAGTGCCTCTCCCCCCCCCCTGTACCATCCAGCCTCACAGTTTTATTGGCTGAGAGTGATCAGCTGACTCTCATAACTAATGATCTGGTCCAGGAAAATATGGATTAGCTCAGGAGCCAAAGAGAAGCCCCTAGCTCTCACTTTCAGGTGTTAGGAGGCAGGAAGCAGCGCCCAGTGAACCCCAGGTAAGAAGTCAAACCGTTAACAAATGGTTTAACTACTTACATGGGGTGGCACCAGGGCACCATAACCACTACAGTGCACGGTGCATGGAGTGCTCCGCTAAGGTGATAGAATGGTTCTTCTATGGATTCCAAGGTATAAAGCACAACCATATAATGTATTGTGGCAAACTTCTGCACCTTAAAGGAACACTATAGTCACCTAAATTACTTTAGCTAAATAAAGCAGTTTTAGTGTATAGATCATTCCCCTGCAATTTCACTGCTCAATTCACTGTCATTTAGGAGTTAAATCACTTTGTTTCTGTTTATGCAGCCCTAGCCACACCTCCCCTGGCTATGATTGACAGAGCCTGCATGAAAAAAACTGGTTTCACTTTCAAACAGATGTAATTTACCTTAAATAATTGTATCTCAATCTCTAAATTGAACTTTAATCACATACAGGAGGCTCTTGCAGGGTCTAGCAAGCTATTAACATAGCAGGGGATAAGAAAATCTTAATTAAACAGAACTTGCAATAAAGAAAGCCTAAATAGGGCTCTCTTTACAGGAAGTGTTTATGGAAGGCTGTGCAAGTCACATGCAGGGAGGTGTGACTAGGGTTCATAAACAAAGGGATTTAACTCCTTTTATTTTATTATTTGTTGTCACATTTTTTATTACTTTTATTTTTGAGTTGCCCTTGGGTTTGCACTCTAGCCAGGGTGACCTAGAAGAATGGACCAACCAGTATTAGTGTCTTCTCTCACATCTGCCCTGTGTGTGTCTCCTCTCACTGATGGCACTGTCTGCCCTGTGTGTGTGTCTCCTCTCACTGATGGCACAGTCTACCCTGTGTGTGTCTCCTCTCACTGTTTGCCCTGTGTGTGTCTCCTCTCAATGATGGCACTGTCTGCCCTGTGTGTGTGTCTCCTCTCACTGTCTGCCCTGTGTGTGTCTCCTCTCACTGATGGCACTGTCTGCCCTGTGTGTGTCTCCTCTCACTGTCTGCCCTGTGTGTGTCTCCTCTCACTGATGGCACTGTCTGCCCTGTGTGTGTCTCCTCTCACTGTCTGCCCTGTGTGTGTCTCCTCTCACTGATGGCACTGTCTGCCCTGTGTGTGTCTCCTCTCACAGTCTGCCCTGTGTGTGTCTCCTCTCACTGATGGCACTGCCCTGTGTGTGTCTCCTCTCACTGTCTGCCCTGTGTGTCTCCTCTCACTGTCTGCCCTGTGTGTGTCTCCTCTCACTGATGGCACAGTCTACCCTGTGTGTGTGTCTCCTCTCACTGTCTGTCCTGTGTGTCTCCTGTCACTGATGGCACTGTGTATCCTGTGTGTGTCTCCTCTCACAGTCTGCCCTGTGTGTGTCTCCTCTCACTGATGGCACTGTCTGCCCTGTGTGTCTCCTCTCACTGATGGCACAGTCTGCCCTGTGTGTGTCTCCTCTCACGGTCTGCCCTGTGTATGTCTCCTCTCACGGTCTGCCCTGTGTATGTCTCCTCTCACTGTCTGCCCTGTGTGTGTCTCCTCTCACTGTCTGGCCTGTGTTAGTTTCTCCTCTCACTGATGGCACAGTCTGCCCTGTGTGTGTCTCCCCTCACTAATGGCACAGTCTGCCCTGTGTGTCTCCTGTCACTGATTGTACTGTCTGCCCTGTGTGTGTCTCCTCTCACTGATGGCACTGTCTGTCCTGTGTGGGTCTCCTCTCACTGATGGCACTATCTGCCCTGTGTGTGTCTCCTCTCACTGATGGCACAGTCTGCCCTGTGTGTGTCTCCTCTCACTGATGGCACAGTCTGCCCTGTGTGTGTCTCCTCTCACGGTCTGCCCTGTGTATGTCTCCTCTCACTGTCTGCCCTGTGTGTGTCTCCTCTCACTGTCTGCCCTGTGTTAGTTTCTCCTCTCACTGATGGCACTCGCCCTGTGTGTCTCCTCTCGATGGCAGTCTGCCCTGTGTGTGTCTCCCTCACAGTCTGCCTGTGTGTCTCCTCTCACTGATGGCACTGTCTGCCCTGTGTGTGTGTCTCCTCTCACTGATGGCAGTCACCCTGTGTGTGTCTCCTCTCACTGTTTGCCCTGTGTGTGTCTCCTCTCTGGCACTGTCTGCCCTGTGTGTGTGTCTCCTCTCACTGTCTGCCCTGTGTGTGTCTCCTCTCACTGATGGCACTGTCTGCCCTGTGTGTGTCTCCTCTCACAGTCTGCCCTGTGTGTGTCTCCTCTCACAGAACTGCCCTGTGTGTGTCTCCTCTCACTGTCTGCCCTGTGAGTTTCTCCTCTCACTGATGGCAGTCTGCCCTGTGTGTGTCTCCTCTCACTGTCTAACCTGTGTGTGTCTCCTCTCACTGATGGCAGTCTGCCCTGTGTGTGTCTCCTCTCACTGATGGCAGTCTGCCCTGTGTGTGTCTCCTCTCACTGTCTGCCCTGTGTGTGTGTCTCCTCTCACTGTCTGCCCTGTGTGTGTCTCCTCTCACTGTCTGCCCTGTGTGTGTGTCTCCTCTCACTGTCTGCCCTGTGTTAGTTTCTCCTCTCACTGATGGCACATTCTGCCCTGTGTGTGTCTCCTCTCACTGATGGCAGTCTGCCCTGTGCGTGTCTCCTCTCACGGTCTGCCCTGTGTGTTTCTCCTCTCACTGTCTGCCCTGTGTGTGTCTCCTCTCACTGTCTGCCCTGTGTGTGTCTCCTCTCACTGTCTGCCCTGTGAGTTTCTCCTCTCACTGTCTGCCCTGTGAGTTTCTCCTCTCACTGTCTGCCCTGTGAGTTTCTCCTCTCACTGTCTGTCCTGTGAGTTTCTCCTCTCACTGTCTGCCCTGTGTGTGTCTCCTCTCACTGTCTGCCCTGTGTGTGTTTCTCCTCTCACAGTCTGCCCTGTGTGTGTGTCTCCTCTCACTGTCTGCCCTGTGTGTGTGTCTCCTCTCACTGTCTGCCCTGTGTGTGTTTCTCCTCTCACTGTCTGCCCTGTGTGTGTTTCTCCTCTCACTGTCTGCCCTGTGTGTGTTTCTCCTCTCACTGTCTGCCCTGTGTGTGTGTCTCCTCTCACTGTCTGCCCTGTGTGTGTTTCTCCTCTCATTACTCACACTGCTGAGTCAGCTCACTCTGTGATCTCCTTTCCAGCTGTCACACTGCCTGTTCCAGTTCCAAACTTCTACAGATGTTTACATACAGCTCTTTCATGTCTTTCCTTTCTTTAATACCAGGGAGAACGTCCTCCATGCCCCTATACTCTGCTTATAAAAATTCCCACTAATGCCCCTGTCTATTAGTTTCTCTCCTCCTTAATTCCCAGGAAATATCTGCATCCTCCCTGTCCCCTCCTCCCATTCTCTCCACCCTCACCCTCTCCCCTTCCTCCCTCCCCCTCTTCCACCTTCTTTCTATTCTGCCCTCTCCCCATCCCTCCTCTTCCCCTCTTTGTATTCTGCTCCTCTTCCTCACCCTCCTTCCTCTGCACTCCCTCCCAACTTTCTAACTCAATATGGCGAAATCCTATGATCACCTTTTCAAACTCCTTCTTATCGGGGACAGTGGAGTGGGGAAGACCTGTTTGATCGTCAGATTCTCAGAGGATAGCTTCAACAGCACCTACATCTCCACCATAGGTAAGTGAGTCTGTTTACACAATATTTGGGAAGGGGTGACAGCACTCCCCCAAAAGTAACTTTCTGCTCCCCCCCCTCCCTTCCCATCAGTCAGTATACATCGCAGTCACTGTTTGCTGGGTTTATTTCACATCCTGGAACTAACTTTCAATCCCATTAGTAATCTGCTCCTCATTATAATTCAAGGAATAAAAGTTAGAATAATTAAAAATTTAGCAATCAGCACGGACATTCCATTGGTTTCCATGACGACTGCTAACTTTGTATCGCTATCCCAGACCCTGCTTGTCCTTTATAATGTGAACCCCACTCAGGATTAATAATCATCAAAGTTTGAGTGTCCCTGAATTCAAAGCGAATTTTATATATATATTATATATATTTATTTTTAGGACAAAACTGGAAAACTTTTCCCAGTCATTTATGGGGTATGTTTACTAAACTCTGACATGCAGTGGATTTAAACTCAAATAGCAAGATTTAGGTTCAACAGCTAAGCTGTTATTATAAATGAGTTGGATTTTGTTTTTTGCAAGTCAGCTTTCATTACCTAAACTATTCAGTTTGGATTTTATTAAGATACAACTTGCTGTTCAATTAAGTTTCATGACTTTGGCCTACAAAGTTAAATTTACTTCCTAATTCCTAACAATTCAAATTTAAGTGAATAATCCTGAAACTGCGGTGAATTGAAATCAGATTTCCAAATTTAGGAAGAGGTAGTTTTAATTTGGCAAAATGCTCTAACTCTGCTATAGAAACAGATTGGCTATTTAAAGGGACGCTACAGGCACTCACACCACTTCATCTCATTGAAGTGGTCTGGATGCAGTGCCCCTGTCGGCTTAACCCTGCAATGTAAAACAGCGTTGTTTTAGAGAAACTGCAATGTTTACATTGCAAGGTTAAAGCAGCGCTGTCATCCCCACTCACCATGACAAATTAGTATTTCATTAATATAGATTTTTATAAAATATTCAATTTTATTTTTCTGGAATTAAACTGAGATTCCAATTGAGTCAAGAGATATACAGAGACAAAATAGGAGACGGCTTTATCCCTTTATATTTCCTCCACCTGACTTTCGTAGACTCTGGGCGGAACCATAATGTCATCCCGATGGCTGCAGGGAATAGGCTCTGTCTATGGAGGGTGTTGCGGGAGCCTCAATGCTGTATTTGGGCATGCACGAGGCTGATGTGACAGGAGCTGAAGAGGACGCACAGGAACAAGAGGGCTGCGCTAGCTCGCTAGGGACAGGTTCCGTTAACAAATCTCACCTTCGCCTCTCTCCCCTGTCCACTGTCCAGGGGGTCTTTTTAAAATACTCAGGAATTATATTGCTGTTACAGAGACACTCTAAACTTGTTTAAAAAAAAAAAAAGTTTCCATAGTTCATTAGGAGATGGAGTAAAGAAAGTTTATCCTGTCCAAAATCCCAATCTCAACAAGACAGTCATTCATTAGTTTCATTAGGCTCATTAGTAATGCTTAATTAATATTTCTAGGCCCATCACACTACATTGACTACAGTGATGTCACCAACTTGAGCCTATTTTAACAATAATGCATTGTTTTTATGTGGGTCACTTTTTGCTGTGAATGTTTGATGCTGAGTAGATTGCTAGCTCTTTGACAAAGGTTCTGGCTCTTCTGCTTTCTGACCTCTTGTTGCAGCTATAAGGGATTTATTCAATAAGCCAAGACAAGAATTATGGAGAATTGACAAGGGAATTGCATTATTTAGGCAAGAATAGCTGAATGGGGTAAAAAAAAGTCTCAGATTTTTTAAATTATTATTTTTTTACTACTTTGCTATTTTGGCCTAAAAAAATAAAACTCCAATTTGAATTTTCCACAATTTATCTTTTTTTATGACTAAACCACTTAACATAAAAAAAAACAAAAAACGTATGTACAACATTCCGAACTGTGGCAAATTAAATTTGAATGGTAACATTAACTCTAAACTTGCCACACTCTGACTATAACTGGCTTGGAGAATTTCTCCAAATCTGTTTTTGTTGTATAATTTTCTTTTTTTTTTCCATTCAATACAAATCCATGTTTGGTGAATAACTTTAAAAGTGCCTCTATCTCACCTTTTATGAATGTCTTTATGGAAATTCTACCCTACAGGGCTTTATTAAAAGATTTGCTGCCGTAATGATTCATGTTCCAAACGTATCTCTGATTAGGCACGTGGTTTAGTCATCTTTGCCATTAAAGCAGGTCTGCAACCCTACCCCCAAATTCAGAAGTTCATAAAGATAAAATCTTATTGAAAGGCTCACAGTGATTGTGTTGGTATTTCACTAAAATTCCAACGCTGTCAGAAGATATCATAAGACAAAATAAGGGCTACTTCGTTTTACGTATTTTTCATTCCACTTGATTTAAGGCCTAGTTACCGCTGTCATTCTATGTCTATTCCCCCAGCTGTCATTAGTGATGGTTGTGAGGAAAATGGTATTGTGTATGGATATTTCATTCTCGTGGGATCCTCCATAGACATCAGTGTTATACCTTCTTGCATGCACGAAAGAACAACATTGACATGGGCTCCTGGCAAACAAAGTGCCAGGAACAAAAGATGGTGACAATTCCAAGGGACAGGTTCAGGTAACTAAAACCTACCTTCCCCTGGGCCACCGCACACCCAACGGCAATATCATCGGGTGTCTCTGGCAAAAATGTAAAGAACTCAGCAGGTGACAGAGCCGCTTTAATAGCTACCATGAATGCTATGTGTTCAAGATTGGCAAAAATAAATGTCCTATAATGGCTATATACTATGTTTCATTGTCCGTTCCGATCATTATCCCTTATAGTGTTTATGAAAATAAGAAATTCCTAATTATTAAATCAATCCTTCTACGTGTGAGCCAGGGATTTTCCAGTCGCTGTAGTTACACCACATGCATTGCACCAACATAGATGGCAGCACTCTACAATACCAAACAATGACAAGAAACAAATTGGCATGCAGCAACAAGCAGAGACCTGGATTCTGTTAGCTGGAGTTGGCTGTTCCGAGACTGTTTGGGCTAGATTATTCCTAGGGAATACACCAACACAGTTAAAAAAAAAAAAAAAAAGATAGCAAATTTAATATAGAGAAATAGACTGTTCCAACCCTTTCTTGGCATCAGTGCCGTGTATCCACTTCCTTTTTCAGGAAAAATGAATTAAGGCAATTTTGGTTTTTTTACCATTTGTCTCCTGCTGTAATACAGTGGTTCCTTAATGTGTTTATTTCAACAGGTATTGACTTTAAGATCAGAACAACAGAAATCCAAGGCAAGAAAATAAAACTACAAGTTTGGTGAGTTTATATGAAATACTAAAACGAGGTTATTTTGTTCCCATTTGTGCCTCGGGTCATAGCAACCTCGCTGAGGCTGTGTAAATTCAACATAAATGAACAAGCAGTTAATAAACAATTTTTTTATTTGCTTTCTGTGTGGGTTTCAGGTGGAGAAAGTTTGTTAGGACAGATGGTGAATGTTTGAGTCAACAGTTTTGTGTAGTGTAGATAAGATATTATTAAGGTAAAGAAGGATTTCCAGCACTGATAACAGTCCCCCTCACAACAAAAATCCAAAGAGAATAGTTCCTAGGGTGAAAGTTTGCTGGTAGCAATGACCTGTTTAATATAAAAAAGTTTCTGTTTCGTTCTAAATGGGTGCCCTAGTTTGGTGATGAAGTTGTCAAGTAATGGTTGGCATTGCTCTGTCTGAAAATCACAACCCCAGATTTTATTTTGACGTGTGACACACAAGTTGCAGACTGTCCTCCCAATAACCCAACAACGCAGCTCTGTCACACGGTGTAAGGAAAACTGGGGTAATGTTTAACGCAATGAAGCCCTGATTGGCCACCGTACCGGGCAACATGTCACCCTGACAGTGTGCACTCTGAATACATTCCCTGTTTGCAGCATGGCACGTCATCAGTGATTCTGAACTTGCCAAGTCTGCAATTAGCAGTTCTGTCCCAGTGCGAAAGACTGTGACTCTTTGACCCATGAATTCACTGTTAACAACAGGGATGTACTTTGTGCTCATGCAGTTTAGGAATGAAACTGCTTTTGTAAAATGACTTTCAAACATAAAGGGTTTCATTCACTAAACAGTGACTGCAGTGAATGGAAAACCAGATAGCTAAATTTCAGCAAATTTGGAAGAATTCTAGAACGCTGCTAATCACTGCTCCCCCAGTGCCTTATAAGGTTTGTGTTAATATATCAGTGTTCACACCGTAGACAGCACTATTGGATTATTCACTAAATGGTGATTTATTTATTTATTTTGAAAAGTCCTGTTTTTAGGAAAAGAAAATAGCTGAATTGAAATAATTGTCCTGTTGTCAATTGTGCATTGCGGGAGAGAGATACGGGCACAGGATCCTCTATAGACAATGTGTTTTTCCCTACAATTGTCACTGACCACTTAAGGAAATGACAAATCTTGATGGCAGTAGTTTAGCCTATTGTCAACGTGTTCAGCAGGGTTACCCAAAAGCTAAAAACTCTGATGTTTTAAGATGACAGCTTCCATGATGTTTGTCATTCTAAAAGCATGCAAAGCATCATGGAAGTTGTAATTCTACAATAACTGGGAATCTACCTTTTTTGTAGATCCCTGGTGTAGAGAATATACTATTCCAACACAGTCCAAAGATATCATAAGCATAAGATATCAAAATAGCCTCTTTTAAATCTGGATGGTTAAATCCAATACTGTGACTGTGAGTATTTCATAAATTTTTTTAGAGGGGATGGTGATAACAGAGTCACTTAAAATAAATATAAAAAAAATAAGATCTTTCAAAAGAACAATCTATAAGGGACTAGTTAATGTCTTAATTCACATTTAAATATTATCACTACTCTGATCTAAAAGGCCCATACAGTTATAAAATAATTACACCAAGCTTATACTAAGTAACTTTTTCTATTGTTAATGCCAACTGGAATTAAAGGAACAGTATAGCATCAAGAATACAAACATGTAAATGACATGGATTAAAAGGTACATGTTGGGGTGTCTTATAAACATATCATTTGTTTGTTCTCCATACAGGGACACCGCAGGACAGGAGAGGTTTAAAACTATCACCACTGCCTATTACCGGGGAGCCATGGTATGTAGATGCTGTATATTTGCATCAGTGAACAGCTATCGCTAACTTTCACAGATCGTGGAGAGGAGATATATGGTTGGAGCAATAAAGATATATCCTGTTTTATTTGTGTACCGAATGTTAACAGATGCTTTTTACATAAGTGATACATTTATCCAAGCGAATCTTGTTTGGCATAATGGAGATGTAAGTGTTCTAATCTGCGGCAATGTTTTATTTCCAGGGGATTATATTGGTTTATGATATCACGGATGAACGATCCTTTGAAAATATTCAAAACTGGATGAAAAGTATTAAAGAGGTACGAGGGGTGGAATGCAAGGAGGGAGAATGTCCAGAGGTTGATAAATGCAGGGGGAACAAAGGACATGAAATAAGTGGAGACCAAACTGTGAATGGATTTCACTTGATAATTCAGATATTCTCTTTAATTGCAGACACTAGTCATTAGGTTTAATTTAGAACCAGGATACTGGATGAATAATTAGGATTTAGAATCTACTATATTTATATGTAAATGGGGGTTTTATGTCTTGGATCTATATATTAGGTAGCAGTTAAATCTAAAACCTATTGAGATTATCAAAGTATAAATTGGTTAAATGTGGGTGTGACCAGTAATGATTGGCAATGGCTAGTTGCTGTTCAAGTTGACTAGTAAAGTCACAGACTGAGTGATAGTATCTTGGAATGGCTGGTTATAGCTAGGTGTGTCAGTTCTGGGAATGGCTAGTTGTGAATCTTGGTGTGATTGATCAGGTCTGTGGTTGGCTAATCCAAGCTAACACAGACTGGTAGAGTCTGAGATTGGAATGAATGGTTCTGTCTATGACTGATGAGTTCAGGGAATGACTAGTTCAGTTTAATCTGTAATTGTTCAGCATTGGCTTCTTTTTTATTGATAAGTTATTGGGTATATCTGTGGTGACTATTTGGAAATGGGAAGGAGAAGACTTTCTTGCAGCTCCTTGTTATCTGATTTTTTTTTTCAGAATGCAGCCGTAGGCGTGGAGAGAATGCTTCTTGGCAATAAATGTGACATTGAAGTTAAAAGAAAAGTTCCAAAAGAGCAAGGGGAGAAGGTGCGTTTTTTTAAAGTATTCTTTTCAATAGCACGTACCCATATTTGTCTGTGTGCATCTTGTGTGTGTGTGTGACATCTGTTTGTGTTCTATATGCTGGTGATATGTGTTTTTTGTGTATATGTTTTTGTTGTCTATATATTTGGTATACAGGTGCTATCATCCCCGTCCTCAAGGCACACAAATAGTCAATGGTTTCGTTATTTCCATTTCTATTCAAATGAGGATATTAATAAATCAGGGACTTTTTATTGGACAGCCAGTCATTGCTAGTCCCACATTACCAATGCGGCTGAGGTAGTGGGTTTCTGACAAACCATTACTAAACTGTTTGATATATAACCAGGTGAGACACCAGGACACTCCAGGCAATGTAAACCATATAACAAGCTGTAGTAGCTATGTTTAGAGTTCCTGTTTAAGAATCCTGCAGTTTGTCAGTTGTGGTTGGAGTAAAACTTCCATTAGTTCCAACCAGTACGATGAGTGCTAGTTGCCTAATCGCAGTGAGCCTTGCTTGATTTCTTTTAAGCATAGCTGCGGGGAGGACCTTGCCAAGTGATAGTGCTGTGATCATTGTATATTCGTTTTTATTTTGCTCATTACAGTGTATAACATAAAGTATTGCATGATACGTTACAAAACAGGATGCTAAACATCAAGAATTATTACGAGGACATAGAGTATAACAGTCAGTTGAGTTCCAGTTCATAGACGCAGAAACACAACAGTGCAAATATATTGTACAGGTCATATGATGTCGCGGCCCAGTGGGTGTAATTTGGAGATACTAGTGTGACTTCTGTTTCAGGCAATGTGTCTAATTCTTGAAAGCGACCCACTGCTGGGAGAAACAGGCATCAGTATATAATATTAAATGGGTGTCCTAGTTCAGTCTACTTGGTTGGTGGAGTGAATAAAAGTCTACCAGGGCTCCAGGTGTCAGTGTATCTGGAATATTTTTTTGAGGCTGAAAATGGGATTTTCTTCTGTTACTCATATGGTTTCTACCCTTTGAATCCATTCCCTGATGGAAGGGGTCTGCATGTTTCCACCGGGCCGAGATGAGTTGACTTGCTGCGGTGAGGAGGTGGGTTATCAAGGAGGAATGGTGCCTGGCTAGGGATCAGGGCAGCCGGAGAAACCTTTTGCATTCAGGAGAAAACGTGATTTGGGCATTTGTTATTGATTGGATGAGTGCATGTATGCGTTTCCAGAATTTGATGATCAATGCTCATTGCCACCATATGTGGGAGGTATGTACATCAGGCTGGTGGCATCTCCAGCTAGCGTTGGATGTGGTCGAGTGATGTTGACTCAGTTTTGCTGGGTGGTAATGCCATCTGGTCATGCGCCTATAGTTACTCTTGAGTGCTGAGATAAGTGAAAGATTTTTGTGTCTGCAGGAATATGTGTTTTCATTGGGCCTTGGAGAGGGAGATCGAAAACTCGCTTGACCATTTTTCCATGAAGGGCTAAATGGCCTGGTCCCGGACAGGCTGTAATAGGCTATACATAGATGAGAGGAGTTTATTTTTTATGGGGTTGGTAGGGCAGATTTATTCGAGTTTTATCAGTTCTTGGTTCCCTGCTGGCAATAAATTGGTGCATTTGATAAAATGGACCAGTTGATTGTACTGGAAATGTTGTAAACCCATGGGTTCTGGGCTATGGATTATCATGGTCAGGGGTTGGATCCCTTGCTCATTGAATATTGAGTGAAGTGTGAGGTATGTCGTGGTGTAGTAATTTCTATGTTTTGCCCGATTTCTCCCTCTCTGAATAGAGGGTTGTGGAGGGTGTATAGGGGGGATGGCGGAGGTGACAGGTTCACTGATTGTCTCGTGGACTACCATATGCAAAGGGTGGCGGTAATGGTTGGGTGATCTCTATGTTGCAAGAATTGCTGATTAGAGTTGTGCCACGGGAGAGTGTAAATGGGAACCTTAACAAATGAGGCCTCAATCTTGGCCCATTGTAAGGCATTGTCAGTTTTCGTCCAGTCATAATGTCTGGTCAAGTGTACCGCTTTATGATAGAGCTCGGCATTAGGAAGTCCCAGGCCACCCTCCATTCGGTGTTGGCATAGAATGGAATATGCTAAGCGGGGTTGTTCGTGTGACCAAAGAAAGGTCGTGACTATTTTAGGTGTGGAGGCAAAAAAGTCTCTAGATAGCGTGATTGGTAATACTTGCAAAATGTATAGTAGATGTGGCAGAACATAATAATCTTGAGGATGCTGAGTCTACTGAACCAATCATACTGGGGTTCATGCCAGGCTTTCAAGTCCTTGGATATTGTTGCTAAGAGTGGAGGGAAGGTAAGCTCATCTAGGCAGTTTAGGTGATTGGGCAAAGAGACCCCCAAGGCTTCAGTGGCCTCTAAAAATGAAAGCTCTGTTTGTGTTTTGTCTTTTTCAGTGGGTGTACTCAGTGCCAAGATTTTGTATTTGGAAAAGTTAGCCTGGAAGTTGGAGATCCTATTGTACAGGGACATTTCCTCGAGGATAAATAGGAGGGTTTGCAAAGGGTCCGTAAAGAGGAGATCATCAGCAAATGTAGAGATTTTATATTCATCTCCACCTACCCTAAGACCCTGAATCTGTGAATTATCCCTAATCCCTTTGTTGGAAGGGATCAAGAATGAAAATGAGGGGGATAGTGGGCATCTATCCAGAAATCTTGACCAGTTGGGAAAGTTACCTGTTTATTGGCAGTCTGGCTGTTGGTGTTAAGAAGATTGCTCGCAGCCAGCCGTGCCAGCGAGGGCCAAATCCCAGGAACTGCATTGTAGCTAGCATCCAGGACCAGTCCACCCTTTTAAACGTCTTTTCAACATCGATTGAGATTAAGACACTGGGCGTTTTGGATCGTTTTGCTAAGTACATCAGATTGATCATTTTGGTGGTGGTGTTCTTTGCTTCTCTTCCCGGCACAAAGCCTGATTGGTCAGGGTGGACTAGCCAGGGGAAGCAACGGCCTTAATCTGGTGGCCAGTATTTTGGTAAACTGTTTAATGTCTGTATTGATGAGGGAGATTGGCCGGTAGCTGCCACAGCTGGTCGTGTCCTTACACGGTTTAGGGAGCAAGGCTATGGTGGCTACTAAAGCTGAGGGTGACAAGGCAGGAGTTAGCACCAATGAGTTGAAGGAGTCTAAGAAGTGTTGGGAGAGAACAGAGGAAAATATTTTGTAATACTTTGCTGTGAAGCCATCTGGGCCAAGGCTCTTGCCTAGTGAGAGTTGTTTTGATGTCTGTTTCAATTCGTCTAGTGTGATGGGGTGTTCTAGTGAGTCTGACACATTGCTTAGAATGGTGGATTTGATTTGTTTCGAGAGAAAATAATGTATCTCTGAAGTGGAGGGTAGCAAATCTCAGCTTTATACAGCTTTGTTTAGAACTCTTGAAAAGCAGAGCTTATGTCAGGCATGAGGTGGACTGCTAGTTTAATGGAGTTGATGAATATTTGTTGTCTATGTTGCTGAAGGGATTGTGCCAGGAGGCGACCATATTTACCACCTTAGATGTAGTACACTTATTTAGTGAGTAACGTCCTACGTTTAGCATGCCTGTTCAGTAGTGTAGTAGGCTCAGATCTTTTAGCAGTTAATGTTTTGTAGGTGTTCAACGATTTATCAGATATGTGTAGTTCTTCCAGCTTTGTAATTTCGTTCAGTAAGAGTGTGGATCATTGCCTTTTCTGTGTCTCTCCGTCTATAGCTCGCGAAGGAACACAATATTCGATTCTTCGAGACCAGTGCAAAGTCCAGTCAGAATGTTGATGAGGTAAGCGATGAGTTTAACTTGTATTCTATATTTAAAGGAACACTATAATGTTAGGAATATAAGCATGTATTCATAGAAACATAAAAACATAGAATGTGACAGCAGATAAGAACCATTCGGCCAATCTAGTCTGCCCAATTGTTTAAAATACTTTCATTAGTCCCTGGCCTTATCTTATAGTTAGGATAGCCTTATGCATACCCCACACATGCTTAAACTCCTTTACTGTGTTAACCTCTACCACTTCAGCTGGAAGGCTATTCCATGCATCCACTACCCTTTCAGTAAAGTAATACTAACTGATATTATGTTTAAACCTTTCCCCCTCTAATTTAAGACTATGTCCTCTTGTTGTGGTAGTTTTTCTTCTTTTAAATATAGTCTCCTCCTTTACTGTGTTGATTCCCTTTATATATTTAAATGTTTCTATCATATCCCCCCTGTCTCGTCTTTCCTCCAAGTTATACATGTTAATATCCTTTAACCTTTGTAAGTTTTATCCTGCAATCCATGAACCAGTTTAGTAGCCCTTCTCTGAACTCTTTCCAAAGTATCAATATCCTTCTGGAGATACGGTCTCTATTACTGCACACTATACCAAAAAGTGAGGTCTTACCAGTGTTCTGTACAATGGCATGAGCACTTCCCTCTTTCTACTGCTAATACCTCTCCCTATACAACCAAGCATTCTGCTAGCATTATCTGCTGCTCTATTACATTGTCTGCTTACCTTTAAGTCATCAGAAATAATCACCCCTAAATTCCTTTCCTCAGATATTGCGGTTAGGACTCTATCAAATATTCTGTACTCTGCCCTTGGGTTTTTACTTCCAAGATACATTATCTTGCACTTATCCACATTAAATGTCAGTTGCCACAACTCTGACCATTTTTCTAGTTTACCTAAATAATTTGCAAAATTGGCTTATCCCTCATAATTCAGTCTGACTCAGTTCTCAAATAGGAAGCTCCTATATTGGCTTTTTTTGGGAGACAGCCACTAGAGGTGTGTTTAACCCTACAAAACGTCTTACATTGCAGGGTTAAAATGGCATGGGACTGCACTCAGACCGCTCTATTGAGATGAAGTGGTTTAGGTGCCTTTAGTGTCCTTTTAAACTGCATCTTGGGAACAGTAACTGGATTTCAGTGCAATCTAAAAAATAGGGCCGGTGCAAGGATTTTTGCCACCCTAGGCAAAACAAATTTTGCCGCCCCCTTTGCTCAAACCACTCGTGCAGACTGACATACACTGACACGCGCAGACTGACACACACGCACTGACCCATGCAGACTGACCTGCACAAACACAAATTCTTCACAAACACACATTGGGATGTCCGATTAACCCTCTTACCTTGTGTTCCTGGCAGTTTCCCTGCGTCTGGCCGCCTTCATTCCGTCTCAGCCCTGCTATGCTCACATAAAGGGCAAGGGGTGGCAGCGAGAAACTGAGGTGCCCTCGCGCTATTGTGCCCATGGCAGTCTTTGTGGGGGGCCTGGCTGAGCAGGCTGAAGTGGATGCTGCCAGACCAGTGTTACACTGGGCGCTAGTCAGCAGAGATGTAAGTGCTCCCTAGCGCCCGGTAACATGGCTGGCGGCACGATTTGTCGAACTTTTCCAATGGGGCGGTCAAACGAAGCAGAGTGCAGGGCAATAAAGACCCAGGGCCGGTGTCCTCCTTTGAGCAGCGCCCTAATCGGCCGCCTAGTTGGCCTTTAGGAAGTGCCGAACCTGTCTAAAAAAAAAAAATGCCTGCCTACACTCTATTTTTTTTTAAAACAATTGCGGTCAATTATTAATCCTTTCACTCCCAATAACATGTATGTTCAGGCAGTGGAGTTATGCATCCATACCCCAACTCCTTGTATACACACGTTTCCACTTTGATACCGCAAATGGAATAAACATTTTATCCTGCTTTATAACTCTGTTGCTCTGTGAATCCTTTGAGGTTTTTCAATGTTAATTAAACTAAGCTAAACATGTGTATTTTTGTTCTTAAAAGTGTGGTATTCACGGTGACTAGCGAAATATTTTTACAGGAAAAGAGGATTGTTACGGTTATTCATTTAATTTCAAATACATTTCAATTCTCACTGCTTACAAAAAGTCTGGTATTTGTCTGCTTTTATTATGGAAACATAATGCACTTAATGTGCTCTAAAGACATCAAAATTAACCACTGAATGTCAAGCGGACATTATTTTCCTATAATACATCTTTTAATGGGTCTTTTTTGTTACATTGTATGATCTGGTCTGCCCCAAGATTCGTTGGAGTTATACTTCTGGGTAGTACCTACCATTTACAGCTACGGTCCTAGATTTAGGCCCTATCCCTTTATCGATATGCCAGGAGAAGAGCTGGGGGAGAGAGAATCATGCTGTCTCTCTCTAGGCATATCACTAAAAGGGATTGGACCTAAAACAAAAAGCTGCTGCCTTGGAGTTTAAGTGCCACTAATCTAAGGCAGGACACCACATCTGTGGTATAGTGCTGCTCTCACATTAAAGGCTGTTCACGACACATTGGTTAGTCACTCTGTGCCTTATGGTTTTTAACTTCAAGAACACATTTTATATATCGGTTTCCTGATTCGTGTGTAGAATTAGTGACATAGTTTTATTCTCTCCCCAGGCTTTTAATACACTGGCCAGTGATATCTTACTGAAAATTACCAAGAGATCGGTATGTATCAATCGGCTCTACCCTTGGGTATGGATCTCAGATTGTGAATCGAGTCTTGCTACATTCCACATATGACTCTCTCTCTCTTTATTCTAGGCCCCAGGAATGAAAGAGGTCGACTTAAAGAGCTCCACGAAAAAAAACAGCAACAAGTGTTCCGTAGTGTAAAAGTGCTGATTTGAATGGGTGCTGAACCCCTTTCTTTCATATTAAGACGAGGGGATACACCAGACTTCCTAATGAAAGGAAACACAAATTGGCCCGCTAGTTATTACAGCTTTGTACAAACCGGATAAGCTCATCGCATTCAGGAGGTTTTACCCCACTTGTCCTCTCCTTCAGCCAAACATTTAATTTGGAACCTCTCTTCCTGAGAACCCAACTAGTGACTCTTGTGGACCCAGGCAAGGATTAGGAGAGAGATGAGGATGTAATGCAGACTTTTAAAGATCACCATTGTGAAGTATATATACAAATCTGGTAGCATTGTAAACAATTTGTCAATCTTTTTGGGAATAAGTGACTTGAGCAAGGTCAGAATTTAAGGCAAGTGGGGGACCATGAAATGTTAATCAAAAGGTTTATATGGAATAAGTATTAGTGGGTCGAGGTCGATCTTTCTTTATAAACTCCATATGTTTCATGGGTAACATAACACTAATATTTTGGAAAATGGGGTACATATGCCTTAAAGCCCTTGCCTCAGATATTTATGGTCACATTCTTACAGTCTGGCAGATATTCTTTATTTGAAATGACAACGATCCTGTAATATGGTGGAGATATAAATAGTGAGGATTAGTGGAATGCGGTTGCTTAGGATGTGTTAGAAGGCGAAGAATATTGAGGATGTAGTAAGAGACCATCAATATTGTAGAGGTCACAGACATAAAGTGTGGAAGTGGAGGTGATCAGTATTAAGGAAGTGATGACTATAAAGAATTTAGGATGGTGGGAGTAATATGGTCAAGATGGAGGAGGAAATATGTCTAGAAAAGGTGATTACTAAGGATTTAAAAGGATATGAGATAATGGAATATTGAGGACTTAAGAGGAAGAAATGCATATTGAGGAAATGATAGAAGAATGTGATTGCTGATGGATGAAAGGAGTAATTCGAGTGATGGAGGAAGAGACATGTATTGAGTATGTGTAACAGAGGTTTTAATCTACGATCCGACATTTATAAAAGACAGTGTTAATGGATTTACAAGATGCGTCCTCCTGCTTTAAGTTTGGAGTTTAATGCTGGTTGTTCTACATGTTTCTCTGCTACTATGAATGCCTAACTACCACATAAAGGGATGTTCTACAACATGAGTGTATATTAATAAAGTTCCTCACCCCTGGGTTCTCTCGTGAAATAATTGGTTTGTCAAACAAAGACGTGACTATAAACTTGGGGTTTGACACGTTCTAGGCACTTGTTAACCATGGACGCAAATGTTTTCGACTTCTGGCTCTTAAATGTAAACTATTTTTATTAATCTATATGAATATATAATTCCCTGGATGATAGAAATATTAATGTCCCAATGTTGAGGTGAATTACTAAACATAGAACTGTAGCTAATGGAAATCCAAATGACAAACAGATGATTTAGAGAATTTCTTCAGCTTAATTTTGCAGTTTGGCTTTGACTCTAGAATTTGGAATTTAATGACTAACCCTGGAGGCAGTATCCGTCAGCCTCGTTCCCCCACCTTCCCCCCCATACATTAATGAAAAGCTGCCATCCCATAATTATAATAAAAATGTATAATAAATATATTGTCCATTTCTAAAGGACTGGCAAAATTCACATCCGCTTACAGAACTCCACAATATATTACAATCTGTGAGATGGGGATGAATAGGCTTCATGTTAACATGTAAAACCAGAGAGAATAAATGACTACTATGCTGACACGCAAAATGACTCCACCATCTCACCCAGCACAGATTCCAAAAGACGTGTTCCGCTATCTAATTATCTGCAGTGTTCCATAGGAAAGTTATGCAATGTCACAGCATACCCTATGACTGACAAACCTTTAACATGGCAAGATATTGTGATCCTATGTGACTACAATATGAGCTTTTCTGTTTTTTTTTTCTTAAATTGCTTTTACCTTTTGTCTTCCCATCCATTCTTTTCTTTTATCACCTATAAATGGAATAGTGGGATGTGTGCTTTGGCGCAAGACAAGTCTCTGTTCTCCATAAACTGAAATAAATTTTGGCTCTATTTTAAACTGCTCATCTGAAGTTACACAGCACAGAGTATCACATGGCTAAATCCACTGTTCTATGTGTGTGCTCTTTTTAAAAAAAAAAATTTAAAAAAAATTAAGAATATATTTAAAAGGGGATTTTCACTCTCAGTAGGTTTTTTTTCTCCCAGTTGCGAATAACTTAATTTAATAATTTAGATATCACCTATTAATAGTGATGTCCCGAACGGTTCGCGAACAGTTCGCCACGGACTCATCATTGAGTAAACTTTTGACCCTGTACCTCACAGTCAGCAGACACATTCCAGCCAATCAGCAGCAGACCCTCCCTCCCAGACCCTCCCACCTCCTGGACAGCATCCATTTTACATTCATTGTGAAGCTGCATTCTTAGTGAGCTGTCCGGGAGGTGGGAGGGTCTGGGAGGGAGGGTCTTCTGCTGATTGGCTGGAATGTGTCTGCTGACTGTGATGTACAGGGTCAAAGTTTACTCAATGATGAGTCCGCGGCGAACAGTTCGTGGCGAACTGTTCGGGACATCACTACCTATTAATTAACTTGTTTAAATGGATATTAACAAATATTATTTTTTAATTTTTTTTTTTTTTTTTTTATGTGATGGAGAGGGTGAGTCTTAGAGATAACATGCTGTTTTAACAATCTAAACACACACAGAAGTATTCCCATAAGTGAGGATTTGAAGTGAATTTCAAAATTTAAGGCCAAAGTAGCTGAATTAGAAGCATAGCTGACATAGAAAATGTTTCCAATTCAGCTATTTTTATCTTAAATTTGACATTCACTTTGAATTCCCACTTTACTGAATAACCCTGACATCTTAATTAGTGTAACCTTAGCACACAACTAGAGGTATTAAAAGAAAGACATCTATTTCCTATGAGAAAGCCTGGGATAAATTTCAGCACGTTTTCAGCCGTACTGTATTTAATGTGTTCATAAAGAATAGAATGTTTTATTTACAGGTTTTTGCATTTATTTCCTCTTTGACCACGGCCTGATCCAATCACAATACACGTTATAAAACAAGTGCCAAACCGTGCAGTAAGAAGCAAGGTTCTTTTGTCTGTCCATTTGTTATACCATTATTAATGCGCCTTGTGTTAATATTTAGAAATGTTTTCCCCTCCCATGTAAATTCACTCAACTTTGTATCATAAAAATAACTTCTTTTTTTTTCTAACATATTTTGTCCTGTGTTTTATTGTCTGGGTGCTTATTGAATTTTATGAGTTAAATTAAAAAAAAAAAAAGACAGAAACAAACTAACCAATTACATGGGGAAAAAAATATGTATGTGTGAATTGAGAGTTTTGTCAAGGTGTGTTGTGTGTGAGTGTCATACTTAAGAGAATTCTCGGGAATTCAAAGTTAATTTAAAATTTAAGACCAAAATAGTTAAATGGGAAAAAAATCTCCAAGACATATTTTTAGTTTAGATACTTTGGCCTGAAAGGGACACTGTAGTCACGAAAACAACTTTAGCTTTATGAAGCAGTTTTGGTGTATAGATCATGCCCCTGAAGTTTCACTGCTCAATTCACTGCCATTTAGTTGTTAAATCACTTTTGTTTCTGTTTATGCAGCCCTGGCTGTGACTCACCCTTTCTATCAGATGCAACTTACTTTAAAAGTTTTTATCTCCTCTCTAAATTTAAAACTTTAATCACACAAAGAAGGCTCCTTCGGGGTCCTGCAAGCTATTAACAGTGCAGGAGATAAGAAATTCTAAATTAAACAGATTTTGCAATAAAGGAAGTGTAAACATTCGATGACTATTTACAGGAAGTGTTTAGGAATGATCTGCAAGTCACATGTAGGGAGGTGTGACTAGGATGCATAAACAAAGTGATTTAACTCCCAAATGGCAGAGAATTGAGCAGTGAGACTTCAGGGGGTATGATCTATATATATAATATATATATATATATATATATATATATATGTGTTTTGGTGACTATAGTGTCCCTTGAAATTTGTTATTAGGTATATTCCATCCTCAGGCAACAGGGAACTGCTCTCATGCCGCACAGTGTGAGCGCATCATTAGACACGCTCTCACCTTGAACAGGCTTTAGAACTAGCAGAGAGTGCGTCAGCAGCGTTCTCTGCATAATCCTGGGGAGCGGGGAGTCTGTCGTTCTGGTGTGCTAGCCATGTTTATATTGCCAGATCTCATTAGCATGGTGATTTACAAAAAATAAAAATTTAAAGTAAATTTCACATTTAAGACCAGAGTAGCTGAACTGAACGCATAGCAGAATTTATTTTCGGTTCTGTTATTTTGGCATTCACTTTGAATTCTCACTTTAGTGAATAACACTGTTGATGTGGAGTTTTTATTTTTTTATCTTTACAATCATTAGTCAATCTTAGGATTATGAAACAACATCCAGTCAGGGAAATAATCATACAACGTATAGAACGAAGAAAATCTGCAAATTCAAAGTCTGTTTTCAGTACGGTAACTGTTTCATGCTTCAAGTTGAAAAGATAAAAGCATAATTTTGGTGACCGGTGATCATTATTTTAATTGATTCTTGCTCGTATTGTAAGTTTATAAGCCAAGGATCTTGTGACAAGGAGTACGTGAACATAAGATGAAAGAGTTACAGCAGGCACCCCGACCACTTAGTGATTTGAAGTGGTCATGGTGCCTGGAGTCTGTACGTGCACTTCTCTTTGTAGCGCTGTACATTTGGATAGTGTAACTGCTGAAGGTGTAACTCAATCCTTGACCGCGTCATTGGGGCACATTAGACTGTCCGGAACAAGAGTTTGGGCCTGCTAACGTGAAATTGGTGTAAAATTAGCATATAATGCTGGCCACCCATGTGTTAGGGATGTAATTGCGCCCTCAATGTCTTCCTTTTTCCATGGTAAAATAAAATTGCATTTGGAGGAGTGAAATGCTAAACAATTGTGTGGTATGTTCCTTTGTTATTGTGTACACTTGCTCGGTCACCCTATATTCACCTGAAGATTGCAAAACCATGATCTCCCCTCAGCCTGATCGACCTCTCCCTCAGGCAAGTGGGAGTGATGTTGGTAGAGGGGGATTGGGCTGAGAGGAGAACTCGGCCACTGTGAATTGGAAAAGAGGCATGTTTAAGCTTGTTGTTTGCGTGCGGGGACACCACCAAAGTAAAAAACAATATTTTATGGGGAAAAAAAATATAGATTTTGGTTGTTGTAACACTTTAAGATGAACAATGTTAAAAAAGTGTCACTGTGTAGTGGAGACGAGGAAAAAAAGCAGGGGAGGTAATTATAAGGGGTACGAATTCAGGGAAAAGAAAGGGCTAGAGATGACACTTATCTTAAAAATATATAAGCTTTATTAAATAACCCCTAAACCAAAGAAATAATAGATTAGGACTACAATAACCAAGCTGTGAGTCTAGCGGAGTTGCAGAATATTTCCAGGGCAGTTAATTGTTACTAAATTTTACTGTTCGGAGTTTAATTTGCTAAGAACAGGGTAAGGTGTCCGTAAAACAGAGTGAATCTCACATTTTAGCTAAAGCGACAGAACTGCAAACTTAGCAGCCTTAGAGAAATTTTTTTCACCTCAATGATCTATTTTAGCCTAGAATTTAAACTTTTTTAATAAACTTTAACCTAAGGTGACAGGCTAAAATCAATGTAGTGAGAATTGTGCTGCTGTTCGCCCTCCGGCCACACGGGGGAGCTCGCTGTACCACAGACTGCGGAAGCTGGCTGTGCGGGACAGAGCGGCAGAGAAGCAGGGCTAGTGTGAGAGGTAAAGCCATATAAAGCACTGTGACCGGAAGTGGCTGTCAGTGATGGAGCCTGCTGTCTGGGTGTTGGGAGCCCTGCTAGCTGTCTGTGGGCACTGGTCAGTATCTATAACAGGGGGTGTCTAGTTATAATATCCAGCTCACACACTGTCATACATGTACTAATGGTGGGATAGCTTGTTGTGAACTACATTTCCCATCATGCTCAGCCAGCCTTAAGCTGCCAGTGTGTCAGAGAATGTGAATGGGGTGTTATAGGATAGTGTGATGGGGGGGGGAGAGGGGTTAAAAATGAATGAGACAAACTAATAGAGATTTTTAAAGGAGCCATGAAGACCCTAATTAACCCCTTAAGGACACATGACATGTGTGACATGTCATGATTCCCTTTTATTACAGAAGTTTGGTCCTTAAGGGGTTAAAACAGGGTTATAATTTAGAGGAGGTGGGGTATAAATAAAACACACAGTAGTAGTGTGGAGGAATAACAGCCAAGGGACAGGGAATTGAGCGCTGCGGAACTTGTTGGTGCTTTATAATAGGTGAGCGTTACGGGAAGTGAAAATAAAGTGTAATAAATGATAGGTTTGTAGGAGTGACAGTTATATTGGAAGGTTATGTCAAAGGAACGCTGTGGTGTCAGGAATAGAAAACATTGAAAATACAATTAAAACAATAGCAAGTGATGAAATGGCGATTGTAATTTTTTTCAATAGCAGGAACCTAAATAAAAATAAGCCACAGCACAAAATGTATTCTACTGATTTTAACCCTATAAAGTGGGCACTTTGTAGAGTTGATCAGTAATACAAAGATGCATTCTTAACACTGTAGTGTTAAAGGAATCCTATAGTGCCAGAAAAACCTGTTTTCCTGGCACTATAGGCTCCTGGATTCCCCCCCTCCCTCGCGCTGCCCCCCTTAAGACACTTACCTGAATCCAGCGCCAATTTGCTTGGCGCTGGGTCAGGCTCTGCCCACGCTCCTCCCCCACCGTCAGCCGGCGGGGGAGACCTAACAATGGCTGCGCGCGCATTAGACCTCCCCATAGGACAGCATTATTTCATGCTTTCCTCTGGGGAAAATCTGATGCTGGAGGTCCGTGAGGATGTCTAGCGTCAGATAACAGACCAAAAGTCAGTTTGGATTCCGGAAGCCCTGTCTATTAGACAGCCACTGAGGGCAGACTTACAGCTGCAATGTAAACATTGCAGTTCTCTGGAGCTGAAATGTAAACATTGCAGTTCTCTGGAACTGCAATGTATTACATTGCAGCACTAAGTGCAAAAGGGTCACATCACCCAGACCACTTCAATGAGCTACAGTGTCCGTTTAAGCAGTATATGTTTTATATAAAGTATGAGAATTTACTGGGTGTGCTAATGTTCTTCATGAGTATGTATACATAGTGCATCGCTCTGTTACTTGTGTCTGCATTTTATTTTTTATTCCCAAAGGACAACCTTGAAAAGTAGCATAATCTCTAAATTGCCGTATGTTTTTATTAATGGAAATTTGGTTGAACATTTTCAGGGTTATTTACTAAACTGTGAATTGTCTGGAATTCAAAGTGAATTGCAATTTTATTGAAGACATGGATGTGACGAGAGCAATCTTGCCACATTGCATTGGAGAAGCCTGGTCGCTCGCCTGCTGCCTTTGGATTATGGCCCCATGTTTCAAGACCTCTTTTTCACTGCAGAAAAGACTTATTCGTGATTTTCTGCCCGGTGTTCGGTAGATTCAATCTACCGAACTAACACACGAATGACTGGACCACCTGGGAGCTGGAGTGTGTCGGCTATTAACCTCCCAGAAGCTGCGGTTAACCGCAGCTTACTTGACGAATGCTGGGTGGCCGCCATTTGTATACCGAACACGAGGTCGTGGCCATTTTAAACACGCGAACGCTCAGCGGTGTTCGACGCCCAACTTATGGAACTGAAAACGGATGCATTTTGGCGCGAACACCGCTGAAGCCGCCGACCTCCCTTCTTGTTTGGTGGAAGTGCACGGACGGCCCTGTATTCGGTAGTTGTACCTGACTACACCATACCCCAGATAGGAATCCCGTGGAGCTAATTTGTATGAGAACTGACTTTATGAACACTTTGGCTCCATGGCGATAAAACTGTAGTCGTGTGGTCTGAGCGCCATTCGCTTAATAATGTGCGCTCGGACCTGAGCTATCTGGGGATATGTTAAATGTATATATTCATTGTAACTTTTGTCACATAGTGTATTTTAATAGTAATTCCTATTCTAGTATCCCCACGTGCATAATGGCGATTTGCCTTTGTCCTGGGAGATAATTGAATTACTTCTCAATTATCTCCAGGGCAGAGGGGAGGAAGCCAAGATGCATTGTGGGAATATAATGTGACTGTGTGTCCTGGATTGCTGCTTATCTGTCCTTTGTTTCAGTCTCCCACTTGGTTCCCTAGGGGAGAGTCCACCAGGTGGGAGACCTGCGTAAATACTGGGCAGGTAGCCCTCATTAAACAGACCACTGCTTGACCCTCAACACGGAGCCTTGTCTCGTTTTGGGGGGATTTACTGAATGCTGATAGAGACTGATTGATTGCTAGGAGTGTAAGCCGCTTGGGTGCTTTTCCCATTCGTCTGCTAGCAGCTATTCGCGCGTGCACACACACACACACACACCCAGACAGACCCCCCCACACACACACACACACCCAGACAGACCCCCCCCACACACACACACACCCAGACAGACCCCACACACACCCAGACAGACCCCACCACACACACCCAGACAGACACACACCCAGACAGACCCCACACACACACACACACACACACACCCAGACAGACCCCTCCCCCCATACACACACCCAGACAGACCCCTCCCCATACACACACTCCAGACAGACCCCTCCCCCACACACAGACACCCTCACCCACCCAGACAGGCCCCACACACCCACCCAGACAGGCCCCCACCCACCCAGACAGACCCTCCCCACACCAGACACCCTCCCCCCACCCAGACAGGCCCCTCCCACACACACCCACCCAGACAGGCCCCCTCCCACACATCCACCCAGACAGACCCCCACACACACACTACACACACACCCAGACAGACCCCCACACACACACCCCAGTGACCCCCACACACACACAGACAGACCCACACACACACAGACAGACCCCCCACAAACACACACACACACACACAGACAGACCCCCTCCCCCACACACACATTCACAGACTCATGCACACTGACAAACACACACTCTCACACAGTCACAAAGTATTATTTGATGCACTCAAATGGATACACACAAAAACAAAGATTAATAGATAATAAAAAAACATATTTTTTACAACCCTCCTGTTTCCAACCTTTTGGGCTCAGGTGGGTGCCTTCCCTGGGGTCCAGTGGGACTGGGCAGGAGCAAATGACAATATATTAGTGGGGGCTGGCTGCAGCTTATGGAAGCAGCTGCGGTTGTTCCAGACTCCCCCTCCTTCAGTCTCCTTATCACCATGCAGATCTCTATGTGCTGGGAGGAAGTGAAGGGAACTGTAATTATTTCCTCCCGGCGCGCAAGGGAAGGGGTGGACACCCGGCTCTGCTTAAAGGTGTGGGCTGGAGTGCCACCTCTGAGGGATGCGGTGGCTGGCTCTGAGATCCAGCTTTGCTCAATGTGGGTGGGTGGGCTCGGAAGAATGTGGGCGGCAAGTTGGCAGTCTTTAAATGCTGCCCTTCAAGCTTGCAATTTCCCTGTGGGAGGAGGGAGGGAACGGGCCGACCAATTCCAGATGCCAGGGCAAAATTCTTAGTCGCCACGGTGACCTGGCGCCTGGGATTTGTCGAGCCCTGTTTTAGGCTAAAGTAGCCAAACTTGAGGCTTGGATTTTGAAATTCACTTTGAATTCTTACTTTAGTAAATAAACCTATTGGCCTTAAAATATCTGATTCTCTCTAAATATATGGCAATTGGTGATGAGCCTCAAATATACATAATCTGATTTAGAGGAAAACATTGCTGGGTCAAGTGAATGGTGGAATAAATCTTTGGTTATGTTGTAGTGCTGCAAACTAATTCTGTCCTTTCACATTAGTGGGTCCCCTCAGCATATACATTTCCTTTTTTTTTTTTTTTTATAAGTGAAAAATAGAGTTTAAAGGGCACACACTGTGAATCGAAAGGGATTGAAAATAATCTGTATCGAATCAGTAATGTGTAATTGCATAAATGCAGCCACCAGGGGGTGCTTAATGCTGATTTCTTATTGTGTAAATATATATGGTCTGTAAAAAAAAAAAAAATATATTTTTATGTAGTTTAAAGGTGCACTTCAATGTACATTTTCACCCTATATTTTTAAAGCATGTGCGTTCATATTCAAGTTTGGATAGATCTAGTTTACTGTAAACCCTCAGTCCAGTAATTGATATTATTTTATGATCCACCAGTAACTTCACACTTTGACCCCACAGACTCGCAGTATTATGTCCATTCTATAGCGTAAAGTGTAGCAATTTGAGATTAACTTTTATATTATGAAAAATGTAAAACCTAGTTTTTTTTTTTTTGTTTTTGTTTTTTTTCTCTATGTAACCCATTTATGTGTGTTTCGTTGCTTGATTCTGTCTCCCTATTCTAACAGGGTTATTCTCTAAAGGGAGAATTGTCAGGGATACACACCCTTTGGAATTTATGAAATGCATTAAAGTGGTGTTGGTGCCTGGAATGTCCCCTTAATTTACATTTCAAAACAAGAGCACCTTGCCCCAGGTTGCAGCTGCAGTGTGCTGTGAATGTATATTATTGCTGTGGTCTTTGATTTGCAGCTCCAACACAGATAACATGCAGCTTCTTACTCGGTCTGCTCTCTTCCAGGTGGGCTGAAGCTTCCTTAACCCTGGAGCAGGAGATCCAAGGTGACGTAATATAAAGATTCTCTGAATGGGCTACTCCGTTACGGATGGCCTTGTGCTTATCCTGCTCTGCTCAACTTGTTTCTGACTGTTCTAGGCTGTGTCGGTTGTCTCTGTGATCTGCTACAGTCAGCTAATTGTATTCTCTTACAGATAAAACTGCTGTGCGCTCCCAGTGCTGGATGACAGAAGAGTTTACAGTAGCCTCAGATTGCTCCATTTGTGATCCATTTCAGTTGGTAAAGCTTCTTACTGTTTGTTCCTCTCACTATAATATCAATAGGTATAAACTGCATTTATACCTAGCAACATTAGGGCTGGTTGGAAAAGCAGTCAATGTAATCAACATGCTAGTAATATGCTAAATGTATATGCCAAATGTGCCATTAGTACAGATTAGTAGACCGGGTGTGCATACAGATGCGGCAGGAGACAGACAAACTGAGCATTAATATGATATCTGGCTAGGCTTGAGAAGAAATGCAGGGTGGAATTAGACAGGCTGTGTGTAGAGATGTAGGGGAGTGGGTTTGGCAGGCTGTGTGTAGAGATGTAGGGGAGTGGGTTTGGCAGGCTGTGTGTAGAGATGTAGGGGAGTGGGTTTGGCAGGCTGTGTGTAGAGATGTAGGGGAGTGGGTTTGGCAGGCTGTGTGTAGAGATGTAGGGGAGTGGGTTTGGCAGGCTGTGTGTAGAGATGTAGGGGAGGGTTTGGCAGGCTGTGTGTAGAGATGTAGGGAGGGGTTTGGCAGGCTGTGTGTAGAGATGTAGGGGAGTGGGTTTGGCAGGCTGTGTAGAGATGTAGGGGAGTGGGTTTGGCAGGCTGTGTAGAGATGTAGGGAAGTGGGTTTGGCAGGCTGTGTAGAGATGTAGGGGAGTGGGTTTGGCAGGCTGTGTAGAGATGTAGGGGAGTGGGTTTGGCGGGGAGTGGGTTTGGCAGGCTGTGTGTAGGGATGTAGGGGAGTGGGTTTGGCAGGCTGTATGTAGGGGAGTGGGTTTGGCAGGCTGTGTGTAGGGGTGTAGGGGAGTGGGTTTGGCAGGCTGTGTGTAGGGGTGTAGGGAGGGGTTTGGCAGGCTGTGTGTAGGGGTGTAGGGGAGTGGGTTTGGCAGGCTGTGTGTAGGGGTGTAGGGGGAGTGGGTTTGGCAGGCTGTGTGTAGGGATGTAGGGGAGTGGGTTTGGCAGGCTGTGTGTAGGGATGTAGGGGAGGCAGGCTGTGTGTAGGGATGTAGGGAGTGGGTTTGGCAGGCTGTGTGTAGGGATGTAGGGGAGTGGGTTTGGCGGGGAGTGGGTTTGGCAGGCTGTGTGTAGGGATGTAGGGGATTGGGTTTGGCAGGCTGTGTGTAGGGATGTAGGGGAGTGGGTTTGGCAGGCTGTGTGTAGGGATGTAGGGGAGTGGGTTTGGCAGGCTGTTTAATCTCCATGTCTCTTCTTTTTATAGAAAACTAATTCTGAGTGTGGTGTCACTGGATTTATAGAGCAGGTAAAGTGCACTACGATAGAGAAAACCGTGTACAAAAGGTAAGCAACATTTATTTCCCCACAGAAATTTTGTTCAAATCTACTTTTTTTTGTTTGTTTTTAGTGTAATATGTGCAATAATTACAGATTTCACATGTTATTACACTAAGCGTATTCCTTTTAAGCTATTTGTTATTCATAGAAGCACATATGAGGTATTCAAAAATGGTTTCATTTTCAAGTATATCTTATGACAGTGTTTGCTTTAACTTTTGAAATATTTGTCTACTTCTTTATTAAATTAATTTTAAAGGACCACTATAGTGCTAGGAAAACAAACGAGTTTGTTTTCCTGGCATTATATGGTCTTTGGGTCCCCCTCCTGCCGGCCTCTAGGGGGAGGAAGGGGTTAATATCTTACCTTTCTCCAGCGCCGGGCTCCTTCCTCCCTCTTCGACCGAATGCGCATGCGCGGCAAGAGCCGCGCGTGCATTCACTCAGTGAAAATCACAGTGAGAAGCGTGGAAGCGCCTCTTGCAGCTGTCAATGAGACAGCCACTAGAGGCTGGATTAACCCCTTTGTAAACATAGCAGTTTCTCTGAAAATATGTTTACAGCTGCAGGGTTAACCCTAGATGGACCTGGCACCAAGGCCACTTCATTAAGCTGAAGTAGTCTGGGTGCCTATAGTGGTCCTTTAATCAAACACAGGAGGCACCCGCAGGCTCTAGCAAGCTATTAACAGAGCACTAGGTAAAAAAAAAATAAACACACCGTGTAATAAAGGAAACTCCATAATCAGATCTTTCTTTACAGGAAGTCAGACAGTGTAGGTGTTGCTAGGGTGGAAGTATCCGTTATTTAACTCCTAAATGCAAAGAACTGAGAAGTGAGGCCGCAGGGGCATTATCTATACACCAAAACCACTTCACTAAAAAGACACTCCAGATCCCTAGAGCACTCCAGATTGCTGCATTGCTTTATGTACGAAGAATAAGTCCTCTTCTTTTTGTTTTCCAAAAAGTGTAAATTTCAATAGAATTTGGAACTTTAATACACCATCAATTAATTGTTTTCCTAAATAATTAGTAAAATGCATAAATGTTTTCAATGGAGGTATATGTACTAAATAGTGATTTTTGTTTTATGCTTTGTGGTTGGGAAGCGGAGCTTCCATTTTTAGGCTAAAGTTTTAGTGCTTTGTGTGTCCAATTAATAGCAAACTTACCCCAGTCCTGTTATACAATATTAATAGCAAACATATATTTTGTTTCCCCAACTTAACACGTAAGGGAATACAAACAAGCATTTCACTAAAGTGTGAATTTCTGTAAACTCAACTGGTAATTGAAAAATGTAAGGACTAATGTAATAAGATGGTGACATAGCTGACTTTAGTTTTTCAATTTGGTTTAAAATGTTAAATGTCCAGATCCTGGTTCAGTGAATAATCCTGAAGGTAAGTGTTAGCGTGCAATGAGTATATTCATATTAGTTTGGAGTAAAAGTCTCAGGGGTGAGAGGGCAATGTGCAGTAATATTGTTGCAAAAGCGCTATGATTTGTAGATAGTACATTAAAAATGTAAAATTCTCAATAGAGATTGGCTCAAATACATTTCTCCCCTCCCACTCATATCAATTAGTTTTTAGCACCCCCCTCATAAATTAAAAGAATACTATGGGCCCGCCGGGTGCTTCAGCTCATTGAAGTGGTCTGGGCGCAGGGTCTGCCTCCAGTGGCCATCTCCCATACAGCCACTAGAGACGCTTCCTGGATCCAAACGGACCTTTGGTCCGGTAACTGATGCTGGACATCCTCACGCTCTGCATGAGGACACCAATGTCAGATTTTTCCCCATAGGAAAGCATTGATTCAGTGCTTTCCTATGGGGCGGCCTAATAAGCACGCGGCATTTGCGCCCACTTGTTGTGCAACATTATAGGAGGTGGAGCTGCAACACAGCGCTGCAGGACATCGGCGCTGGGGTAAGCTAAGTAAATAAAAGGTTTTTAATCCTTTTTTTTTTTTTTACCAGGGAGGGTGAGGGTTGAGGGAGATATAGTGCCAGGATTACAGCTTTGTATTCCTGGCACTTATAGTATCTCTTTAAATGGTCATGGGGCAGGAGTGCTTTGGTGCAATCAACTTTTAAGGGTTAACCCTACATTCCGTGGTGCCTGACAGCTCTGCCTTCTCAGTTAATTTCTCTGGAGGCCCATTGAGAGTAAATGTTACTATTACTTTGGAAGGAGTTCATTGCCATCTGAAGCTCTAAGCCAATCGATTTCATAACATTATGGATGGAATTGATATTGCTAATGCAGAAGGGGGAACTTCAGCTTTAACGATATCTGTGGAGACAGGCTGGATTTTGGACGCCCAGGGGGACCCAGGTAAGTGGAAAACAGTTTGAAAGGTGACAGTGGGAACACACTAGAAGGCTGTAAATGTAATGGGTCACTATGCTTTACCTTTTGAAATGTATAGACAAAAAACTATCTCTGGAGGCGCAAAATACAATACTCATTTTCTGACTGCAGTATGTTCCGAGTTACTTTGTTTCACTCTATAGCATGCACACAGATGCAAACATGTCCATATATTAAGATAATTTAAAATATATCCGCGTGATATGGGTGAAGCTACTTTATTTGGCTTTCCTTACGTCCTGCAATGTCTTGTAGTAACTGCCTGCTAAGGGAGTAAAAGGTACGATGACTCCCTCCAGTCTTTTAAGCAAAACATTCAGACTAAATTCTATTCTATGTGAGATTGCTGCTTTTTTTTTTAGTGTGTTGGATAGTCTTTCATGTTGGCATTGTATTTGTTTTAGTTATAATAATCTGTTTAGTGTGTATTGTTTAGGTTTCTGTGTGTAATCAGATCCCCTTTTTCCTAGCTGCCGTTCTGCTTTGATGGAAAAGCTAGTCTTCTGGCGTTTTGTGGCCAGCATGATCGCAGCTGCCGTAATCCTGACTATTGTCGTCGTATTCCGGCAACGAACCCTGGATAGAAATGCATTGGAAAAGGTACGCAAACAAATCGAGTCTATTTAATCCTATACCTGCGTACACCATGGGGAAAAGATTACATCCAGTAAAGAGGTAATTGGATTTGGCATTGGGGGGACCCTACATTTTTTGTTGTGGTAGACAATGAAACCTTCATTCATTACCTGCCTCTTCCCTTGCACCTTGGAGTTGCTGCTTCCAGAAGCTATGACTTTGATTTGATCAATTTTATATGAACCCCATGGCACTTTTCTCTTCCTGTGGGAATTTTGTAAATAACTTACTTGTGTTTCCTATGTGGCTCCGTACTCTGTGGAATAAATCAGATTACATGTTTTTTTGTTTTTTTTCCCCTTGAATTTATTACATACACCTCCTAGCCGGGTGGATTGTCTTTTATGGTTTGTTGATAAAGTAAGACACACAATATATATTGTTCCTGGCTTTTTAGGCTCGAAGGCTAGTTCTCAGTCTTTTTTGCGTTCTAACTTAACAGAGATGTTGTGTGAATACAATATCTACACAAACCCCTTCCACTGATCCCATCACAAGTATTCTATTTATGTTTTGTCGTTGATGGATTTTAATGCCTTTTGTGGAGACCTGACAGTGTAAGGATTGTCCCCAGAGGAACCCGTCTGGATTCAAGGTGCTTGTGGACTGGTTAATGTGTCCTGGCACATTAAACTCACTTTTGTGGATATACTGAAGATCTCATTAAATGTTTCACAGCCTTTATCTGGTGGCTAATCCCTCTGCCACCCCATCTCTCCTGTCATCTTCTGCCACCAACCAAACCTTGCTGATTTCTTCAGTATCGGTAAAGCTGTTAATGTTTTTCAAGTTTACCAAAGCGACTAGTATTTAAAAAAAAAAAAAAATTCAATAAACCTAAAACAGTTTCCTCTGTTCATTTTGCGTCTTTTTTTTAGTTTTTAGTTTTTTATTTTAATTGTTTTATATTACATCTACTGGAGCACAACATTAATGATATGATGCCAACGTCACAATGCTTGTCAAATGAGTTATTATAATGGTGTGAAAGTCAGAGTTAAGGGTAGGACAACCTCAGCAAGTGTGATGTAGCTTGAAGAGTAGTGCCATGCTGGAAAGGCAACCCTGCTGAAGTGGTAATTGCGAACACAGAAAACTGAGTTACAGTGGCATAAGAGATAAGCATGATTTATTCAGTACAAAACTATTTATTGGATGAAAGAGCAGTAGATTGTACAACAACATTTTCATTGTTCTAAATCTGTCCTGAGGTCAATAAACCCATTCCATTAGTTTTTATTTTACATTTTTTAGATCCTTTATATCCTCCTTCTGCTGTGATGTTGAGATAGGTTCCTCTATGTTCAATCTTTATCAGTTACAGCAAATGTTATTTATTTCCAAGAGATCAACAGTGTGTCACCATCTCCCCGCTTGCATGGATTGAGACTGTAAATGAGCAGAACCACCTGCTTGAAGCCGCTGCTAATCCCTTTCTGTGAGAGATTGCTAAAGCCGCCTCGGGGGTACTCATCTGTGTTTAATCTATCCCAGGCTGGTCACGAACATTTTCCAGTAAGACTCAGACTCTGTTCTTCAGTAAACTTGACTAATATCTGTTGTAACTTTTTCAGAACTGGGCTGAAAGCTAGCCTATCTGCAACTTCTGGAATTCCAATGGAGAAACTCTAATGTTGCCTACATTCTGCACATTGTCCTGTAATATATTTCTTAAAAGAAGTCTGCACAGTTATACTGTTTCCATGATATGATGAAATAATTATTCTTACAGATGCTGTTATAGGGATTTGTAGACCGGCCCAGAACTGAGCCAAAATATTAAAGACATCTCAGGAAATAGAAATTGCAACTGGTTCTCACGGGGCACTCACAGAGTTTCCCAATTCTAGCCCCTCGTTTCACAGCACACGGCTCTCTGATGGTACACTGTAAAACAAAACAGATTGAGATCTGGTGATTATTATATCCCCTGTCAGTCAGAGATTTCGGTGCTGTGTGCATTGTCTCACCCTGACGCGACTCACCCTAGGAACTTGGTTGAGTTTGAGCTCCCACATGGATGCCCTTTTACTTTGGAGTTTTTGGAGAACATCTTGCAGTTCCACCAGCTGTGTAGACAAAAGCAATAAACAAAAGTGGTTACTGAAAGCTTTGCTGCCTGGCATGGTGTTTATACAGTTAGGAGAATAGTGAATTTGCCGATGTGCTATAGCGCAGTGCTCATGTATTGCTTTGTTTTACTTTCCTTGAAAACTAGAACTCACAATTTAGTATAATGAAACCATAAGTGAAATGTATCTAGTGATCTATTAAAGGGACACTATAGTCACCATACAACTTAAGCTTGATGAAGCAGTTCTGGTGTATACATCATACTCCTGCAGTCTCACTGTTCAATTCACTGTCATGTAAAAGTTAAATAGAAACATAGAATGTGACAGCAGATAAGAACCATTTGGCCCATCTAGTCTTTTCAGTTTTCAAATTCCTTCATTAGTCCCTAGCCTTATCTTATATCTAGGATTGCCTTATGCCTATCACACTCATGCTTAATCTCCCTCACTGTTTTAACCTCTACCACTTTAGCTGGAAGGCTATTCCATGCAGGTATCGACCGATTATCACTTTTGCCGTTATTATTGGCCAATATACAGATTTTTTTTTTTTAAAGTATTGGTATCGGCCGATAATCACAGGTAATACTGATAATGAGGTGGGCCGGTGCGTCCATAAGGTGGCACAAGTGGCTTGGGGGGCGCTAGATTGGAGTGACCGGCAGGAGATGGGCGCACCACGGTATAGGAACTTTTTTCCTGTACCCGGCCGGACTGAAAGGAAGTGCTCACTGAGAGAGCACTTCGTGTCAGTCCTGCCGGATAAAGGAGACTGAAACTACTGTACTGCGGGAGACAAGACTGGGAAGTTACACTTTGGGATAGAGGAGAGAGATGGGGGTGGGGGTAGGAAAGAAGACTATGGGTGCGGGAAGCAAAGAACACTATGGAGGGGAGGAGGAGGAGAGGAAAGAACAGTATGGGGGAGGGAGGAGGGAGAGGAAAGAACAGTATGGGGGAGGGAGGGAGAGGAAAGAACAGTAAGGGGAGGGGAGAGGAAAGAATGCATGGGGGAGGGGAGGAGAGGAAAGAACAGTATGGGGGAGGGGAGGGGAGAGGAAAGAACAGTATGGGGGAGGGGAGAGGAAAGAACAGTATGGGGGGAGGGGGAGGGGAGAGGAAAGACCAGCATGGGGAGGGAGGGAGAGGAAAGAACAGTATGGGGAGGGGAGGGGAAAGAACAGTATGGGGAGGGGAAAGAACAGTATGGGGGAGGGGAGGGAGAGGAGGGAAAGAACAGCATGGGGAGGGGAGGAGAGGAGGGGAAAGAACAGTATAGGAGGGCCTACAAAACCCAACGCCAACCCAACGTCCATAGAAAGAACACTGTGGGACTGTAGGGATAGGAAAGAACACTGTGGGCAGGGGAGGGAGGGGGTAGGAAAGAACACTGTGGGACAGTGAGAGGGAGGGGATAGGAAAGAACACGGTGGACAGGAGAGGAGGGGATAGATAAGAACACTGTGGACAGGGAGTGGGAGGGGGTAGGAAAGAACACTGCAAATGGGGATGGAGGGGGTAGGAAAGAACAATATGGGGAGGGGGATAGGAAAAGAACACTATGGGACAGTGGGAGGGAGGGATAGGAAAGAACACTGTGGGACAGGGGAGGGAGGGATAGGAAAGAACACTATGGGACAGGGGAGGGAGGGGATAGGAAAGAACACTGTGGGACAGGGGAGGGAGGGGGTAGGAAAGAACACTATGGAACAGGGGAGGGAGGGGGAGGGCACTAAGGTACAGGGAAGGGAGGGGGAGGGCACTAAGGTACAGGGAAGGGAAAAGGAACACAGGGGCCACTAAAAGATAAAGGAGAGGAACATTAAGGGGAATGTGGGGGGGTAGTTCCTACTGCACATATTTACAAACACACACAGCATTTACTAATCAAATACTCTCACTGCATTCACTACACACACATATAAATATTCTTGAAAACATAAAAGAAATCTGACTTGCATGTATATTTTGTGCATTTACCACTTAATAAATAAAAAAGAATTTGCAAAAAAATTTTTTCTCAAAACTGTAAATGTACAGAATATGGGTAAGCTATCTGGCTGAAAGTTCAGATTATCGGTATCTGCTCTAAAAAATCATTTTCAGTCACTCCCTAATTACATGTATCCGCTACCCTCTCAGTAAAGTAATACTTCCTGATATTATTTTTAAACCTTTGCCCCTCTAATTTAATATGTCATTGTCATAGTTTTTCTTCTTTTAAATATACTCTTCTCCTTTACTGTATCGATTCCCTTCTTGTGTTCAAATGTTTCTATCACATCACCCGTCTCGCCTTTCCTCCAAGCTATACATGTTAAAATCCTTGAACCTTTTCTGGTAAGTTTTATCCTGCAATCCATGAACCAGTTTAGTAGACCTTCTCTGAACTCTTTCCATAGTATCAATATCCTTCTGGAGATACGGTCTCTATTACTGCATATTATACTCCAAGTGAGGTCTTACCAGTGTTCTGTACAATGGTATGAGCACTTCCCTCTTTCTACTGCTAATACCTCTCCCTATACAACCAAGCATTCTGCTAGCATTTCCTGCTGCTCTATTACATTTTCTGCCTACCTTTAAGTCATTTGAAATAATTACCCCTCCATCCTTTTCCTCAGATGTTGAGGTTAGGATTTTATCAAATAGTCTATACTTTGCCCATTAGTTTTTATGCCCAGGATGCATTGTCTTAAACTTATCCACGTTAATGTCAGTTGCTACAGCCCTGACCATTTTTCTAGTTTACCTAAATCATTTGCCATTTGGCTTATCCCTCCTGTAACATCAACCCTATTGCAAATATTTGTGTCATCTGCAAAAAGACAAACTTTACCATCAAGACCTTCTGCAATATCACTTATAAAAATATTGAAGAGAATGGGTCCAAGTACCAGATCCATGCGGTACCCCGCTGGTAACTAGACCTTGCCTCGAATATACTCCATCCCTTTGTTTATGCAGCCTTTAGTCACACATCCCTGCATGTGACTGGCACAGCCTTCCTAAAAACTTTCTATAAAGACTCATCTAATGTTTACACTTCCTTTATTGCAAATTCTGCTTAATTTAGAATTTCTTATCTCCTGCTAAGTTAATAGCTTGCAAGACCTTGCAGCAGCCTCCTGTATGTAATTAAAGTTAAAATTACAGAGCAGGAAATAAAAGCTTTTAATGTAAGTTATATCTGATTGAAAGTAAAACCATTTAGGGCTGCATTAACAGAAACAAAAGTATTTTAACACCTAAATGGTAGAGAATTAAACAGTGAGACTGCAGAGGCCAGATATATACACAAAAGCTGCTTAATTAAGCTAAAGTTGTTTTGGTGACTACAGTGTCCCTTTACGTGCTATCACAACCCTATACTCTAGGTGAGATCTTACCAGGGATCTATAAAGTACTATCACTACCTCTCTATATCCTCCTGGAGATCTGCTCTATAGAACTGAACACAATACTCTAGGTGAGATCTTACCAGGGATCTATAAAGTACAATCACTACCTCTCTATATCCTCCTGGAGATCTGCTGTATAGCACTGAACACAATACTCTAGGTGAGATCTTACCAGGGATCTATAAAGTACTACCAGTACCTCTCTATATCCTTGTAGGTGCCGTACTCTTCCATAATCTTTTTCATCACAATAAAATTTAAAAAACCTACCAGCTCTCTTTCGTTGTCTCTTCTGTTTTCTCCGGAATGTGTAATTTCCTTTGATTCCACTATCCTCAATGGAAATATTGCAAGGACATACAGAAAAAGGCACATACAAAGTCTATTGGGTAAGCTGTTTCTTGTTGGGAGCATCCTAGTTGTGCAGTACTTGTATTCCTGTTTTAGGCAGTTCCAATTTGTCCAGCTTGCCTGGCTCCTGTCTTCGGAGCGATGGTTGTTGTATCAGTAGCGTTCCGTTTTATTTATTTTGCAGCATGGGCGGGGTGAGGGTTAGGGTACCAAAGCCGGAAGGGAGTTTATACTTTCCATGAATAGCTGTTATCTGCTGTTTCATGTCAAGGTTAATTTAATAGTCGAAGAGGTTTAAGAGATTGCTTAGAGTGCGGTTAGGGTGAAGTTTCCAGGCCACCAGCGTTGGGCGAGAATTACATTGCAGAAAGCATTTTATCTTATTATAATTAGAGACACTAGACCGTTGTTAGATTAACAAGCAAAAACTCTGGTTGGACCATGCAAGAAAATAGACACTCGGCACAAGAACCACAGAAAAAAAATGTAATAAAGGGGCCACCCTTAGGCTTTCTGGCTTTATGTTTGAAACATTTCCCCTGGACTCCCCCATACTTTCCATTGTCACACCTGGCTACATCTCCATATACTACATACCTACTTTCTTGGAAGCTGAAGAGTCTCAACCCTTTTGGTAAGACATCTGGGTATACATGTAATAAGGCTATATCTCTGGGTATGGGCAGGGGAGTATTGGCGTGTGTTTCACATTCGTAAGAAGAGGAAAAAAACTGACCATATTGCTTTTGGACTGTCAACACCAACAACTTCCTCCTCTAAACGATCCCATTGTTGGTAGCAGGTGGTGGCAGTCATGGTATTGCTGTGTCTGTGACATGCTGTGTGGCCAACTTGCACACACCAAAGGCCAGCTTTAAAGGACCACTATAGTCACCCAGACCACTTCAGTGGAACACTATAGTCACCCAGACCACTTCAGCTCAATGAAGTGGTCTGGGTGCCAGGTCCATCTAGTGTTAACCCTGCAGCTGTAAACATAGCAGTTTCACAGAAACTGCCATGTTTACATTAGGGTTAATCCAGCCTCTAGTGGCTGTCTCATTGCGCTTCTCACTGTGAAAATCTTGCCGCGCATGCACAGTCTGCAGAAGAGAGAGGAGAGTCCCAGCGCCGAGGGAGACTGGCGCTGGAAAAAAGATAAGGGATTAACCCCCTTCCTCGAGTATGTTTTCCTGGCACTATAGTGGTCCTTTAATTAAACCAATATCTTTATAAACAGATTTTAGCTGTATAGTTGTGACCTTTTCCAAAGCCTTTCATCTTAAAGAAGGTATGTGGTATAATAGAAATGTTGATACGTGGTGTTGTTACATTTGTGTGCCTACATATATAATATATTATTCACACACACACACATCAGTCTGACATTTGTTTCTAATATAAATCTGGGCCTTTGGTGGACTACATTATTTTTATATTTTATGAAATTATGGCATTTGTGACAGTATGGCAATTTTATTTCATTTTTCTCCCACATGAGCCTTTATTAGCATTTTACATAAAAGAAAACACATTGGAGTCATTCACATTGAGGTAAGACAATAGACTCCAGTTTTATTTAATTTAGCAATATTGATGATCTGAATATTAAAGTTCCCCCATAGTTCAGCGAATCCTTTGGTTTTAAGTAATCATTTCCAATTGCCATATGACACATAGCCAGCATTAGTGAGATATTCTGTTATGGCATTATATGGGTTAGGGCAGGGCCTGTCAGACCCATTTGTCATAAAATCACCCTTTACAGGGTTGCCATGAAGAATTTAGAACAGTTACATTGCATTTATGGTGAAGAAATTGTTTTCAATTTATTGTCGCCACCTGCTCTTAGACAAATTTATTAACATTTCTCAGATCCTGTGATCAAAATTGTCCCCGCTCCGAACTAAAAGTAACACATCTTTCTTTTAATATAGCTTCACCTTTAAATAAGATAACAATCTTTAAAAATGAAAACCGTTTCAGTTCTGTGCGTTTTGGACAGTTGTGTTGTCAGAGTGTGTAATACGCAGTGAATATTTTTAAAGATTGTCGGCTTCACAGGCCTTCAATATATTTCCTTAATACAGATTAAGTTACAAACATTTTTTTTTTTTCATGCCTTTTCTCAGTGATTTTGAAGAGCAGCATAATTAATTTAATTGTTTTAGAAATAAGAAAGTTATGGCAGAGGAAATGACATAATTTCTAACTTTTCTTGCGATTAACGATAGACAGTATGTCTTTTAGCTTCAGGCGTCTGGCAGATCTCATAAAATCTTATTACCATTCTAAGTACATTTTCCTTTTTTCCACAACTGTATCGGGCAGCTTTGAGTCGCCAAAGGGGAATGTGCATTCGGAATAAGAAGCGGCTTTATTCATTATCTTCTGATCAGATTTCTAGCAATCTAAAACTCCTCAGATTTCTCTTTCGTTGTCGTTTGTCAATTCGCTCATCATCTCCTCTCCAAGTGAAAGATTTGATCTCTCCCAGAGATAGGGTGCTTACCCAAATGTTGATTAGTGCGTGATAACGGTATAATAGGAGTCTCTTCCTCTCATTCTGCTGCCCGAGGACAGATAACTCTTGGAAATGGACTGTCAACTACAGGAATGCCTCCTGATTAGTGTCATTTTGCCGACCAGCAATTGGCATTAGTGATGAGTTCTCAGAAAATTTTTCAAATGACGTCTCAAAGTTAATGCAAAATGTTTTATCGGCCGGTCTGTTCCTTAAGAAGGTTTTTGATAAATTGCAACAGATCTGTCAGTGACATCTCGTCTCTATAAATACAGTATAGGGATCAAAATTAACTCCTGCATTCCTGGTGGATACTAGCACAGTACTTGATTAATTCACTGATGTTAATATGTAGTAATACTGACTACAAGCTCCCCCCCATCCCCCCTCCACCCCCTTCTGAAAGAATTTAGTGTAAAACCCATAACAAAGCTCTTGCATAGTTACACAGACTGAAAAGAGACATGCGTACATCATTTTCTGCCTGTCTCACGTTTGTTTTTGCTGTTGATCCAAAACATCTTACAGTGTTGAAGTTTGTACGTTTTAAAGAGGCTTTTTTTACCATGTGGGGTATTTGCATAACTTGCATAGACCCCAACGTTGAAGGCGCCATGGGAGGCAGGGAAAGATGAGACTTGCTAATCTGAACCTGTCCCTTGCGGGCACCTCCATCCTTTTCCTTCAACAAAATCACTTTTTCCATTGTACAGCGCTGCAGAATTTGTTGGCGCTTTATAAATAATAAATAATAATTTCCCTAAAGCTTGACAGCAGTAGCTCTGCTTTTTTGTCATAGGAAAAATACTGAGACTAAGTATTAAAGTACTCCCTACTTTGTCTCAGTTTATCTCTTGACTGAGCTGGAAGGAATTTGAGTGAAATTCCAAAAAAGTCATATCTTCAATATCAGTTTATCTTCATAAAGATTTGATATTTTTGATATGGGAGTGAGAAAAGCCGCTTTAAAATGATGACATATATTTATAAACCCTGCTGCAAATAATCTAGTGGTATAATGGGAAACTTTGCACTAAGGAATTGGTAATAACAAAAATGTAATGTCTCAAGAGTGTGTTTGGCTAGTTGTCTAATGACATACTCTGTCCCAAGGAGTTAAAGGGATACTATAGTGCCAGAAATACAAAGTTCTATTCCTGGCACTAAAGCTCCCTCCCCTCCTCTTCTTTGAATAACGGGTTTAAAACCCTTTATTTACTCACGCGATCATCCGACATTCCCTCGATGGGCAGGCGCTAATGCACATGCGTGGTGAGTTCCATGCGTGCATTGGGCCTCCCCATAGGAAAGCATTGATTCAATGCTTTCCTATGGGGAAATAGCTGACGCTGAATGTCCTCATGTGAGGACGTCCAGCGTCAGTTACCGGACCAAAGGTCCGTTAGGATCCAGATATGTTCATATTGCACCACTAAATCTGCCTCCAGTGGCTGCCTACCAGACAGTCACTGGTGGCAGACTTAGTGCTGCAATTTGAACATTGAAGTTTCTCTGGAACTGCAATGTTTCACATTGCAACACTGAACCAGACCACTTCAATGAGCTGAAGTGGTCTGGTTGCTGATAGTGTCCATTTAACAATCTGTTATGTAATGTTCACCCTGTTCCAAGGTTATTGTAATCTAGTGGTATAATTTGAGATCATGCCTCAAGGAATGTACAGACTAGCCATTATGGCATACCTTTTTGCAGATTTTTTGTTTTACAAGTTCTAGGGCTATGTAGTGTACCATTTTAGAAGTAGCTTTGTCCTGTTATATTTATTAACTCTAGCAAAAGGAGCTTACGATTTTTTGGTATAGCAGAAGGCCACATACTAAGTGGCTTTCAGTATGGTAGTGTAATAGGAATTTTGTTGTCTTTATATAAATGTCCTTTTTGCAAGGAGTTTATAATCTAACATAGTGAGCGTTTTTTTGGTATACTGATAAATATACCGCTATTGATTATTCACACATGAAGCCTTCGCGACAGCATATATATTTTATGTGGGATTTTGCCAATTAATTATTATGGAGATCCAAAGGGTTATGCAAGGTTCCCAGCTGTCTCAATCGGTTCCCCTGAGATTTGTCCACCCTGATCAGCACAGACCCCCATTATTCCTCTCTGCTCCCCTTCCTTGACGTGACTGCCAGAGTGATCAGAGGTGATGGTTATATAAAAGCTCCAGTCTGCGTCCCTAGCTAATCACTTACCCTCTCTGTAATCTGGAGATTATTTTCAATGTTACATAAGATTCTTTCTACTAATAGGTCATTAATTGTTTGTGTTGCCTCACCTCTGATCCCATGGCTTATTCTAGAAATCGGCAACATGAGAGAAGCTCGGTACAGCTATGCTCAGTTTGTAGAGGAGGATGACTTACAGGTGTTAATAAACAGTGGGAATGTCCATTTGAAAATAAGGTGTAGGAAGGCTGTTACTATGATTGTTTGCTTGGTTTTAGAGGTGAGTTCATGCAATAGTTCACCTAAAGACAGTCTCTATTTGTCTCTGTACATTGTTCTTGTGTCACAACATATACATTTAATCATGTTGCAAAAGTGACAGTTTTTTTGTACACACTGCCCCACATGGTCCAATGATGGCTTGTTTACTCACTGTTGTACAGCGAGTCTGAAATAGAAAATGTGAATGGTGTCATATTAGTTTTTGTGTGTTTTTTTTTAAGAAAGAAATGTTGTGCAGGATATCCAAGTCGCTACCTTTATGCAAAGTCTTATTGGTTTATAGTGCTGTATTTTACTCATCCCCCAAATGCCAGTTGCTTTAAAGGGATACTACAATCTTTAAAACAGCAATTTGGGTGCATAGATTATTCCCCTGCAGCCTCACTGTTCAGTTCTCTGCTATTTAAGAGTTAAATCATATTTGTTTCTGCATGTGCAGCCACACCTCCCTTACCTGTGACTCAAAGAGCCTGCATGAAATAAAAATGCCAGTTTTATTTTCATTCATATGTTAACTTGCTTTAGAAGTTTTTATATTCTTCTCTGTCATTGAACTAGAAGGCTGTTAAGAGAGCAGGGGGATAAGAAATAATACATTTAACAGAATGTGCAAAAAAGAAAGCTTGTCACAGCCTGGTGGAGGTGTGGCTAGGGCTACATAAATCGAAAGAAAAGTGGTGTAATGCCTAAATGGCCACAAATTGGGCTGTGAGACTGCAGGGGCATAATTGATACACCAAAGCTGCGTCATTAAACTAAAGTTGTTTTGGTGCCTTTAGTGTCCCTTTAAAGGATAGATCCGTGATGTGACTCACCTATACTAAAGCAGGACAATGGAAAGTTATGAAAGCAGGTAACGGCATGGTTTGAGACAAAAAGGGGTAATTTGTCTTGACTCTGTCAGGACAGAAGGATAGTGCAATTGGGGTATGTCTACTAAACAGTGATTTTTTTAAATTGAATTTTTGTATTTGGACATTGGTGTGTTTCTTTAAAAAATGTTTTTACTTTTTCTTAATACATAGAGGGGCACTTCAAATACAACATTAGCTTAATGTCGCAGTTTTGGTGTATAAATTTTGCCCTTGCAGCCTCACAACCAAATGTCCAGCCATTTAGGCGCTAAATCACTTTTCTTTCTATTTATTTTGCTATGACTAGCACAGCCAGCATTAAAAAAATGTTGATTTAAAAGCTGATCTTACAGCACAATGTGTTTACTTTAGAAGTTCTTATCTCCTCCTCTGTTAAATTAATTTTAATCACACAGACGGCTGTTAGAGGCTCTAGCAGGCTATAAAAAGAGCAGAAGATGATACATTCTTAGTTAAACATACTGCAATAAGGGAAGCTAGACAATTTAGACTTTTTCAGGAAGTGGCAGAGATTTGAGCATTATGACTGATCTATTCACCAAAACCATGTAATCAAGGAACAGGTTTATTGGTCCTGAGAGTTTCCCTTTAATACATAAATAATTTAAGAATAATTAGTTTGTTAGTTAAATGCATATTAAGAATTTATTATATGAGAGAACTGTAGCTGATTTATTTTAGATTGTAAATGTATGTTTATCCCATCTAATGGAAAACTATTGCTTATATATTAGTCATTAAATGCATATGACGTGTTAATTACACTCTATGTACTAATAACATTTCATGTTGCGTTACTTATGCAATGTATGTCCGGTATATATTACTCCTTATATAAGGGCACTGTAAGTAGTTTACAGTTTGTGTTTAGTTTTATTACGTTTTATTAAAGTTTTAGGTTGGTTTATGTTGGTTATTAAATGCCAGTTAGGTGTTTATTACACCATAGATAGATGTTTCAGTGCTAGAAAAATTGTCTGCCCCTTGGAACTCTGTTTGTGTTTTAGCAGAAGCCTGGGAGACAGTAATATTCATTAATACCTGGTTTATTTCTCAATGCACACATCCAGTCATACACATTCACAGTTGTCTTAAACCAAAAAAGAAGAAACGTAGACAGTTGGAAGTTTTTTTTTTTAAACTACAAATTATAATAGAAAACACAACTTAAGTCATCTGACATACATAGAATTGTACAAGATACAGAAAGCAAGATGAGATTGTGGGCTTGGCATCTAACGGATTCCTAGTCTTACGCTACAAAAGTGCAAGGGCATTTCGTGACTCGCATGGTGGAAAAACGCCATTTATCAAAGGAAATTTTTAACAAAGCAAGGTAAGGACCACAGGTCAGAGAGACAAACGGAGACTTGGGAGGAATTTAACAAACACACAATTACTAGATATTTGACACAATTGAGATTTTCCACGCTTTTCTGCAAGTGGTAGAATGCAGATTTTGATTGTGTTCAGCAGGTAATATAAGACAAAGTATTGTAGTGAGGACATTTTTTAGATTTCACAGTACTTCTTGTTACTTTTTATTTCGTGTGTGTGTTGTGTGTGTGTGTGTGTGTGTGTGTGTATATCTACAGACTTAACACAGAAAAACTGGTTCATTGTCAAAGCTATCACAATAAGCAAATCTAATTATTGTGGAGCTTTCGAGAATCTGATCTTTAGTTCTGTTTAGAAATAGGATGTTCGTAATGGAGCCTGAAATTTTTTTTACGATCACATTTTCTCTGTTGCATATAAAGACAAGAACCTGAAAATAGACCACAGGGTCACTTAATACAAGTGTTTGGGGTGGTCCAATCTCATTGGTGTTCGGAGATACGTTTAATTTGCAGGACGAAAACAAATATTAGGTCAAAAAAAATTTTGGACTTTGAAAACAGGACAAACGAAGGAACCATACAGAAATTGTAAATAACACGGAGCAAGACTACGAGGGGTTTATTTTACATAGAGCTAGCTGCAAGGAGTGGGACTGGTGTAGGATTAAGTTTTATGACTGCCATGTGTTCACAGAATATGCACTCTGCCTGTGGGGTAAAATTATTGAATGAGGGGGTTATATGTACTCAGACAGCAGTGTACATGGAAGGCATCAGGGTGATGGTTAAAACAAACCAAACCGTTTAGGTATCATGGGGAAGGATTCACTGAAGCGCAAAGAGGATGATACAAACTACACACAGTGAGGTGCACAGTCTGTGCACTCAGACAGAAGTATACAGTGCAGAGTGAGCCATTCAGTTGAGGGATCTTGTGCGCAGTGGGTATAGTGTATATGTGGTCGATATGGCACAGTCGGAGGGTAGGTGATGGTTGGGTCACAGAGCTGACACTCTGACGCTAGTAACATCGCAGTAAGAATGTGTTGCAAGATGTTCCTCTTAGGCAGTCGCACAGCTTTCCAATCCGTGGTCCATGCTTAATGGCACACCTCTCGCCTACATCACACTACAAATAAACAGAGAGACATTATTCAATAAGTGAAATATACATTACACAGTGGAACCCCGGAACTCGAACAGTCCCTTTCTTGAACAATTTGGAAGTCTAACACAAATTTCGAGTAAAAATTGTCTCGGTACACGAATGATCCTCTGTACCCCAACAAATCATGCCACAAACATGTTCAATAAGACACACTTTAGACACATTTTAAATGCCATAAGAACAGTTCACTATCCCCATGTCTCTTCTCCTTTCCACTTACGCCATCCACTCTCACCATTACAGGTCAAGTGAAGTTACATTTCCATTTCATTTACTGTAAATGTACAATAAATGAAATGGAAATGTAGACCCCCAAAATTACAGCATTTCAACCCAAACTTTACAGTTTAATAATGCTTTGCATGCATAAACTCATAAAGGAAAAAAATTATAAACACAATGGTATAATTATTATCATTTTTTTCCTATATGATTTTATGCATGCAAAGCATTGTTAAAAAAATGCTGTAATTTGGGGGTTCTGGCACGGATTAATCAAATTTACATTAATTCTTATGGGAAATGTTTGCTCAAGCAAATTCGAACTCGAACAGCCTTCTGGAACGGATTAAGTTCGCGTTCCGAGGTTTCACTGTAGTGAACTGCAACTTAGAGTGCACAGGCCTTCATTTGCTTTGGTCCCTCTTATTCAGTATAACAGCTCAGTAGCTAAGCAGTCCAGCATTCTGTAATATGAACTCATCAGGACTCTGCAATTGGACTCGGAATAAGTCCTTGATAGCTTGAACACAGCTACCACTGCAGAGTTAAATACATATATGGATTCCACATTTTGATCTAAAAGACATGCAGAGGTCTGAGATAAATCTACTGGGAGCAGCTGAGTTCTGTAGTCAGTTAAATAGATGTTCAGTGTTAATACTCAGGAATAATACCGGTTCTATGTTATCTGTGTGTAGAGAAGCATGGTTCAATGTATAGTTTATGGAATAATTGACAGAGTTTAGCACTACGTCTATATAGAGAAGCATGGTTCATTATAAAGTTTATGGACATCTGCAAAGTGTAGCATTAAGGATACATAGCGAAGCATGATTTACTGTAAAGTTTTTAGAGTTCTGCAGAGTCTAGCATTATGTTTGTGTAAAGAAGCTGGGTTCATTGATAGATTTATGGATATTTACAGAGTTTGGCATTAAGCTGTTTGATCTCCCTAGTTCTCTTAAAGGAATACTAAATTGTTAGGAATAGAAAACCGTGTTCCTAACACTGTAGTTCCCTGTGCCAACCCAGCACCCCGTCTGCAAATAAATGCCACCTTTTCACTTACCTGATTCCAGCGCCAATGTACCTCGCCAACGTCACTGCGATTCTGGAATGTAATGCTCATGCCTCTATGCTTTACTATGGGATTTTTCACCATGCTTTGCATGAGGATGTCCAACATTTCACGGAGTCAAAATCCATGAAACTTCACGAGCGCTTGTAGTGACTGTCTGGTAGATGGCCACTAGAGGCAGTCTTAACCCTGCAAGGTAAGCATCGCAGTTTCTCTAAATGATTTACATTGTAGGGTTAAGGGGACAGGGACACTGCACCCCAGCCAATTTCAATGAGATGAAGTGGTCTGGGTGCCTCACTTTAATTTTTCTATTCTTTTAACCTCACTCTATATCGGTTTTATTCTCATAACTCTCAACCCCTTGTCTGTATTGTTTAATGGTCACCCTATTTATTTTGTCCCGTGTAACATTTTCTAGGTTTCCACCTTAGCGCCTTCAAATTTGTGATTTATACTGACAGCTACCTCTTCTTCTCTTAGCTCCCTATTATTCCTTATTTGGTCTTCCCAGTTCTCTTGGCCTTAGCTGTATTGTTTCTATGCTGTAGTCTTTCATATTCTCTACATTTTCTCTTGAAGTTTATTCATTCCCTCGGTCTCTTCTGTTCTGTTCTATAGCCCCACTTCTCCAAGCCTTCTTTCTTATTACATGCATGCCTACTTTTTGTTGCCTACTGTTTGGTCTTTGGTTGTCCTAATTAAATATCATGTATCTGTTCTACTCTAAATCTTGTCTTGCTAGCTTTATTAGCCTCGGTTTTTTTAAATTCTGTTTTCAAATATTCTTCTTCACTTCAACTCTCATAATTAAATACCTTTAGTGGAGTTACTTAAATTCTTCCCACTTCTGCCTCAGTCTTTATGTTCCTCTACACTCCTCAAACTCCCTTAAGGACACCTCCTTATGTTCTGTCATCCTCCATCCCAATTTCTCACCCGTGGCACTTGGCTGGCTTTCTTCTGCAGGCTGATTCCTTTATTCTGATTATATTCAAGCATCTCTTCCAGAGCCACTGCCTAAAACGAGATTAGCAAGAAGGAGACCGTGAGAGACCGAGAGTACAGATACGTCAGGCAGTCTAAAAGATTGATTGCAATAGGTAAAAAAAAAAAAAAAAGAGGTGGGTGTTTGATAACATGATTGAACAGCAAAGATATATTACACCAGAATAAAAAAAGAGTAGTGTGTGTGTACATGTTTAATAATGTCTAAATATCTGCCACCTATGACCTTTATAATATAAAATAATTATTAGTAACCACCCAAGTAGCCCTCTGCACAAAATATAAAACTGGAAAAACTGTGAATTCCTTTGGACAAACTGTATTAACTAATTAAATGCAATTATCATGCAATTGGCTTTTCAACCCCTTGGAATCTTTATCTAGAAATTATAAGTAGCTATTCCATGTTGGGGCGATAAACAAAAGACATCTGGTTTGTAGCACCCTTGCAATGCTAGTATTCATGCAAGTATTGTTGAACAGAGCAAATATTAATAGCAGTACGGAAGAAATTAGTGACTGGGCTCTGAATTTTTACAGGGATATTAGTAAAAGTTTGAATTGTTTGGAATTCAAAGAGAGCGCAAAGTGAACTTCAAATTTTAGACCAGAATAGCTAGATTAAATACATAGGTAACTAGGTTAATTGTCTCCGTTTGGCCAATTTGTATTCCTAAACATTGACACTTCATTAATAACCTCGTTGAAGTAATAGGAAATATATAAGTGCAGAGCAATTTTATAGCAGTGCATTTATTCAAAATGAAAGCTCTGTTCTATTTTTATTTATTTATGACTGGCATTTATAAAGCACAAACATATTCCGCAGCTCTGAATTATAAAAAAAACAAACAATACAGTAAATTACTTTATGTGATAATTGAAGGTCAACTCACCAGGCTGTTGGATGGTTGTAGGCGGTCTTCTTCAGACTGGACCTGTATTGAGTCCTCTCCTTTACTGGCCAGGATCAGGGCAGAGATGCAGACAGCCAGTAGCAGGGTAATCGGAGAGTATCTTCTCACCTTGTCCATAGCTGAATCGCAAGTCTGTCTGTGTGACTGTGGGCTGTTTGTTTCTCCAGATACATGTAGTGTACTTCTTATATCCCTGAGGGATTGTCTCTGCCCACTAAAGCCTTCCCACCTCGATCACTCTCATTGCCAATGCTATCTGCGTCTCTGGACTTGGAGACAATGACTGACATAATGATGACAAACATTTCACCACTGATTGATTCTTCTGTAAGAATATAGATGCTGATAAGCTTAATAAGCAAAATAAAAACACAAAGTTGAAATTCTCCCTAAAAAACAACTTAGACTGCTGTGTGTGTATAAGTATTTTATATATATTTGTTGTGTTTTGTTTTGTTTTTTAAACCATAAAATAAACCAAATTAATTTGCTGTATATAATTGGTCTGCATACAGAATTTGACGTTCTGTGGGAGATGACTGATTGTGCAGGGAGCACATAGATCAGTTGACTGGCAGAACTAGATTTCCACCTAGGTTTATTTAGCTGTGAATAGGTATATATTGATTTCAGCTGTCTCTGCCACGTGATGGCAAATGATCTAAAACTGTGTATATGATATTTTGTGAATTATGCACACTTAGTAAGTGGCCTGCAGCTGTAAATGGTCAGTTGGTGAATGCTGCTTTTTGTGTCTCCTAATCCTCTGTGTCTGATTCATGAATCTTCTGTTTCTGTAAATATGTCGGTGGGATGGACTGGGTGGACACATTCTGGTGGATGGCCTGAAAGTGGGGCAGGCTCCTATGCATGTTGTAGCATGGGGACTGACACAACTCAAGGGTCAGGAAGCTGGAGAGTCTAAGGTATCAAATCAAAAAAAGGAGAGAAACAGTCTTGTGATCAGTGTTAATTTGGAGGGCATGCAACATAAATCCATAATTAATACTGCATGTCAGTTGACTTTAATCTGGTAGTCCGGTACAAGAGTATGGAGTCACAGGAAAAGCCTGGAAACCATCCAGAGGTGTAGAATGCTGTGCCTCAATCGCAGGGGTAACTGTTTAACCTTAGGACTGGTTGATGTACTTTCAAGGGATGGATAGGCTTGTCTGTTTCAACCACTGTTACAGACCAAGCAAATCCCAAAATATTAGTTGATACCAGGCACACCAGTGGCATGGCAATCGCTGACATTGGGCTCGATATGGCGGCTGTGATAGTCCCACAAACTGGACCTTCAGTGAGAACCAGGAGCAACTCCACTGAAACAGGTAAATGCCACCACAATGTCATTCGGCCTCGACAGACTGTGTTTGGACGCCGCTGTCTCTTTCACACGATACTACATTTTGTAAAGCTGTATATAAGCAGCTAGTGAACGCTGCCCCTGACTTTATATGAACTGCAGCTGTTAATAGGCTGATGGTGAATGATTTGACCTCTGTCACATCATATTAAGTGACCTGCAGTTAAGCTATGGCACTTCGCAAAGGTGGTCTCTGTCTCGTGTTGGTAATTGATACGCTTCTGCTATTTTCCCGTGATGGTAAGCGCCCTGCTGCTTGTTTAGGCATTTGGTGAATGCTACTGTTTGTATCACCTGATGGTAAATGACCTACCGCTTTTTATAGGCAGTTTGTCAGGAATGATAGAGAAACCCAACATGTAAATCTCGAATGGCCTACAGACTCAGGACTGAGAATATATTTTCATTAGGAGCCTGTGTCATTTGAATGACCCCAACCCATTCGGCTGCCGAAATGATGCAGTGTTGTGTCATTTTGAGGATAAGAGAGACCCAAAGGTGGAGCACTTTACGTCAGTCATAATGCCTGAATGAGGAGTCACATCAAGCTTGTTAATGATAATGATAGCTGTAGAAGTGGAGCAGTCTGCGTCAATATAGCATCGAGTGCTAGAACAACTCCAATATGGAGCAGATACCATGACATCTGTGTCACCTGATGGAAAATTTATAGTCCATTGGTGAATGCTACTCTCTTCAACACCGGATGGTAAGTGACCTGCCGCTATTTATAGGCAGTTGGTGACCGCTACTGTCTGTGTCACCTGATGGTAAGTGACCTGCCCCTATTTATTGTCAGTTGGTGAATGCTACTGGCTGTGTCACCTGGTGGTAAGTGACCTGCCGCTATTTATAGGTAGTGTTGGTGGCTGCTACTGTCTGCGTCACCTGATGGTAAGTGACCTGCCCCTATTTATTGTCAGTTGGTGAATGCTACTGGCTGTGTCACCTGGTGGTAAGTGACCTGCTGCTATTTATAGGTAGTGTTGGTGGCCACTACTGACTGCGTCACCTGATGGTAAGTGACCTGCCGCTATTTATAGGTGGTGTTGGTGGCCACTACTGTCTGCGTCACCTGATGGTAAGTGACCTGCCCCTATTTATAGTCAGTTGGTGAATGCTACTGGCTGTGTCACCTGGTGCAAGTGACCTCGCCCCTATTTATAGTCATTGGTGAATGCCACTGGCTGTGTCACCTGCGGTAAGTGACCTGGCCGCCATTTTATAGGTGTAGTGTTGGTATTACCTACTGACTGGGTCACCTGATGGTAAGTGACTCCGTCAGCTATTTATAGGTAGTACAGGGCCACTACTGTCTGCGCTACCTGATGGTATGACCTTGCCCCTATTTATAGTCAGTTTGTGAATGCTACTGGCTGTGTCACCTGGTGGTAAGTGACCCCTATTTATAGTCAGTTGGTGAATGCTACTGGCTGCGTGTCACCTGATGGTAAAGTGACCTACCGCCATTTATAGGTAGTGCTGGTGGCCACTACTGACCATGCCACCTGGTGGTAAGTGACCTGCCGCTATTTATAGGTAGTGTTGGTGGCCACTACCAGTTCGCGCCAATTGGATGGTAAGTGATCTGCCGCTATTTGTAGGCAGTTGGTGAATGCTACTGTCTGCGTCACCTGGTGATAAGTGACCTGTTGCTATTTATAGGCAGTTGGTGACCGCTACTGTCTGCGTCACCTGGTGGTGAGCTGCCGCTATTTATAGGTAGTGTTGGTGGCTGCTACTGTCTGCGACACCTGATGGTAAGTGACCTGCCCCTATTTATAGCCAGTTGGTGAATGCTACTGGCTGTGTCACCTGGTGGTAAGTGACCTGCCGCTATTTATAGGTAGTGTTGGTGGCTGCTACTGTCTGCGTCACCTGATGGTAAGTGACCTGCCCCTATTTATAGTCAGTTGGTGAATGCTACTGGCTGTGTCACCTGGTGGTAAGTGACCTGCCGCTATTTATAGGTAGTGTTGGTGGCTGCTACTGTCTGCGTCACCTGATGGTAAGTGACCTGCCCCTATTTATTGTCAGTTGGTAAATGCTACTGGCTGTGTCACCTGGTGGTAAGTCACCTACCACTATTTATAGGTAGTGTTGGTGGCCGCTACTGTCTGCGTCACCTGATGGTAAGTGACCTGCCCCTATTTATAGTCAGTTGGTGAATGCTACTGGCTGTGTCACCTGGTGGTAAGTGACCTGCCGCTATTTATAGGTAGTGTTGGTGGCCACTACTGACTGCGTCACCTGATGGTAAGTGACCTGCTGCTATTTATAGGTAGTTGGTGAATGCTACTGACTGCGTCACCTGGTGGTAAGTCACCTACCACTATTTATAGGTAGTGTTGGTGGCCGCTACTGTCTGCGTCACCTGATGGTAAGTGACCTGCCCCTATTTATAGTCAGTTGGTGAATGCTACTGGCTGTGTCACCTGGTGGTAAGTGACCTGCCGCTATTTATAGGTAGTGTTGGTGGCTGCTACTGTCTGCGTCACCTGATGGTAAGTGACCTGCCCCTATTTATTGTCAGTTGGTGAATGCTACTGGCTATGTCACCTGGTGGTAAGTGACCTGCCGCTATTTATAGGTAGTGTTGGTGGCTGCTACTGTCTGCGTCACCTGATGGTAAGTGACCTGCCCCTATTTATTGTCAGTTGGTAAATGCTACTGGGTGTGTCACCTAGTGGTAAGTGACCTGCCGCTATTTATAGGTAGTGTTGGTGGCCGCTACTGTTTGCGTCACCTGATGGTAAGTGACCTGCCCCTATTTATTGTCAGTTGGTGAATGCTACTGGCTATGTCACCTGGTGGTAAGTGACCTGCCGCTATTTATAGGTAGTGTTGGTGGCTGCTACTGTCTGCGTTACCTGATGGTAAGTGACCTGCCCCTATTTATTGTCAGTTGGTAAATGCTACTGGCTGTGTCACCTGGTGGTAAGTGACCTGCCGCTATTTATAGGTAGTGTTGGTGGCTGCTACTGTCTGCGTCACCTGATGGTAAGTGACCTGCCCCTATTTATTGTCAGTTGGTGAATGCTACTGGCTGTGTCACCTGGTGGTAAGTGACCTGCTGCTATTTATAGGTAGTGTTGGTGGCCACTACTGACTGCGTCACCTGATGGTAAGTGACCTGCCGCTATTTATAGGTGGTGTTGGTGGCCACTACTGTCTGCGTCACCTGATGGTAAGTGACCTGCCCCTATTTATAGTCAGTTGGTGAATGCTACTGGCTGTGTCACCTGGTGGTAAGTGACCTGCCCCTATTTATAGTCAGTTGGTGAATGCTACTGGCTGTGTCACCTGGTGGTAAGTGACCTGCCGCTATTTATAGGTAGTGTTGGTGGCCACTACTGACTGGGTCACCTGATGGTAAGTGACCTGCCGCTATTTATAGGTAGTGTTGGTGGCCACTACTGTCTGCGTCACCTGATGGTAAGTGACCTGCCCCTATTTATAGTCAGTTGGTGAATGCTACTGGCTGTGTCACCTGGTGGTAAGTGACCTGCCCCTATTTATAGTCAGTTGGTGAATGCTACTGGCTGTGTCACCTGATGGTAAGTGACCTGCCGCTATTTATAGGTAGTGTTGGTGGCCACTACTGACTGCGTCACCTGATGGTAAGTGACCTGCCCCTATTTATAGGTAGTGTTGGTGGCCACTACTGTCTGCGTCACCTGATGGTAAGTGACCTGCCCCTATTTATAGTCAGTTGGTGAATGCTACTGGCTGTGTCACCTGGGGGTAAGTGACCTGCTGCTATTTATAGGTAGTGTTGGTGGCCACTACTGACTGCGTCACCTGGTGGTAAGTGACCTGCTGCTATTTATAGGTAGTGTTGGTGGCCACTACTGTCTGCGTCACCTGATGGTAAGTGACCTGCCCCTATTTATTGTCAGTTGGTGAATGCTACTGGCTGTGTCACCTGGTGGTAAGTGACCTGCCGCTATTTATAGGTAGTGTTGGTGGCCACTACTGACTGCGTCACCTGGTGGTAAGTGACCTGCTGCTATTTATAGGTAGTTGGTGAATGCTACTGACTGCGTCACCTGGTGGTAAGTGACCTGCTGCTATTTATAGGTAGTTGGTGAATGCTACTGGCTGTGTCACCTGGTGGTAAGTGATTTATAGGCAGTTCCTCATTAATGGAAAGTAAACTGCTGCTTTATGTATTAAACTTTAAGTATTTATCTTTGCCCCAGAACTGTTACATGGATGCCCAAAAATTTCCAATGCAATATGCGGTCTGTGACCGAGGATGTCTTGCTATTCTGTTTATTTTTCACTCTATCGTTGTGTTATAAATTAGTATTATTCACCATTCACAGCACATCTACACCATGCACATATGGCCTGGGTGTGTTGGCAGCGGATGCAGTGATAGTGCCCACAAGCATATTCAGTTATTCTGCTGTGATTGGTCAGTGGTTTGCCTGGTAGTAAAAGTTGAAAGTCCATTTACCAAGTATGGGTGTAAGAAATGAACACAATGCAGGGTGTGTAAAATCCTGACACTCCTCTCCTCAATGTATATGGGAACTTTGCTCCAGGAACTAACATGCAAGGAAAAAAAGCATAATTTAGTCATCCATGTTTGTACAACGAAACTCGTAGAACGCTTGTAGACCAGACGGAGAGCTGCACTTCTGTATCTGAAACCTCAAATATTCCATGAAACAGCAGCATAGTATATAAGTATTAACCGCATGTTTCTTCAAATTTGTTGAACAGTTTACCTGTCTACTTAGGTCTATGCCAAACTTTATAACCTTGACATCTAAAAGAGGCCAGTAGGAAATTGGGACAAAAATATACAAATCAGTATAGTAACCGTAATATTGGATAGTTTGTATGCTGACTCGTAGTCAAAGGTTATCTCTTGTTCATGAGGATTAATTCTGATGTCTCTGGATCTGTAGTGGGCAGCTATTTCTTAGGATTGACAATATAATGCTTGCTGAACAGATGTGACATTGAAATGGATACATTTCATATAATGGATTCTATATACAATAAAACATTAAAGGGACACTCCACTGTTTAGTAGATATACCCTAAACGAAAACTTGCATGTCTTTTAATTATGCAGTTTTTCAATGGAGTTAGATCTAAAAACAGCTTGCAAAAAAAGGCAGTTCTCTTGTCTGATGCCTTTGCAAGCCCTCCCCTTCTAACCCCGCCCAGACTTTCTGCGGCTGTCCAATCACAGACTTCCCTATGCACATCATTGAGCTGTCTTTGCAAGGCAGGTGCACTGGGCAATCTGCCTCTTGAGTTAAGTGCAACTAAGCTAACCCATCCAGGAAGTAACAGGATCTATTGTCTAATTGAAAAGCCTGGGGGGCGTAACCAGTATAAATGATAAATGTGTCAATTTCTATTAAAATCTGCACTATTTCCAAAATGTAATAAAAAGAGGACACACTCTTCACACACAAAGCTTTTCAGCAAGCTTAAGTGCTTTGGGGGTCCGGAGTGTTCCTTTAACCCCTTAAGGACACATGACATGTGTAACATGTCATGATTCCCTTTTATTCCAGAAGTTTGGTGCTTAAGGGGTTAAGGGATAAAAATGTGTGTGTTGACCATCAGCAGTCATTGCTGTATTTTCATTGCAGAATAAATACGGAACGCACTTCCTGGTCTCTGACCAGAAAATACACTGATGAGGATAAATGCTGGTGTTATAGGAATAGTAGTAATAATTATGTGAACTAGACTTGAATATAATTATTACTGTTTCTTAAAGAAATGTTTTTGGGCTTTTTAGTGCACCTAACATTGAGTAAATAGTTAATAAGGCGGTATTGACTGTGGGAAAGGCCTCGGTGTTAAATTTCCAGGTGCACACCTCCCTGCTGTGTGTAAATATCTTGCACACTAGCTAAATATAACTCAATAAAGAGGAAAAAAAAATAAGGCACGTTGAAAACTAAATACTTTTTTTTATTAAAACATTTTACAAATCTGCTTGTTTCAAAGAATATTTAATTTCCCCCACAACAACAAAAATCATCTGTATAAATATTATAAAACATTTCTCTGAATATCAGGGAATAAATGTTAAGGCAAGTAACAGGAAACGGACAGAGGCAGTGCCCTTATCTATGTAAACAATGTTGTGTACCTTTCCGTAAGTGTGTAATCTACTTATTGATAGTTTAGTTATATTACACAACTCTAATGCACGTTGATTTGTGAGATAAATTTGTTTGTAAACTACACATCGATAAAGATGCTACTGATTAGCATGTTGTGTATATGTGTGTGTTTTGGCAGTTATTGTGTTACACGTATATTGTCCCTTCATGTCTTTATGTGCATGATTGGTATTCTGGTCAAGATGTTGTAATCTACCTGTTTTATATGTATACAGGTGTGTGTCAGTACTCTAGTATGTACTTTATTAGCAGTCTATGTGTTTTTAGGGTGTAAAACCCAGCAGTTGATTTCACAACCTCCATTTTTTCATCCTTTATGACGTGTCAACACCAGGAGAGCTCTGGAAGCACTAAATCGGGCAGCACTGAAACACCAGCTTTTTAAAATTTGAAGAGGCAACTTTTAGTTCCAGAAATCTGAGTCTTTTATTCTCTCTAGAACGTACTGTATGAATTATGGTTTTCACATCTCATCCCCACGTGCCGTCTTTGAGAGATCTTTGCTGTGGGTTCCTTTGTGAAGATCCACTTTAAGTGCCAGAACATCACCTCTGGACTCTGGAGGGTCCTTCTCCCCTAATAGTTCTCCTTCCAGGGAGCCACCCAGATCATTTCTTTGTGGATCAGGCCCTTCTTTGTCCAAGGTGGACTGAGGAGCAAACTGATGGTCTTGCATCTTCTGCTCTGGTTGAAGTTCAGGAGTACTGTCCACAACCGGCTGTTCTGTCACCTCTGAGAATCCCTCCTTGTTCAGAATATTTCTTGAGATTACTGTAAATACAGTAAAAAATAAATAAAAAATCTATTATACCCTGCAATATCTAATCCATTGAATGTTCCCATTGGTGTCTTCTCAATTAGAACATGCTATGAATACAGTGATATGCAGTGACCCCTTTTTTTTTCTTCCTGGGGAGAGGATTTAACAGTTGAGTTCTTGGGATCACAAACCCATGCATAGCTAAACAGATTATCATAAAGGTTGAAGCTTAAATGAATGTTAAACCACAATATACAAGCACTATCTACTTTTTCATAAATTTTTTTTTAGCTCCCACCAAAGTAAAATGAATCACACATGGCCATGTGAAGAAGTTTTTTGTGGTTGGTTATGGTGATTTCTTATAAAATTGGTTTAGTCTTACACCTTGTTAGTAAAGGAACTAGGTGCTAATAACGTAACTGTATAATTAAAGGAACACTCCAAGCACCATAACTACTACAACGCTATGGTTTCACTTCTTACCTGGGGTCTGCAAAACACTGCTCCTGCCTCCTCTACTCACTTTTGGAAGCTCCTGCTTATGTGCTTCAATTAGCCAAAAAGCTAAGCCCTACACTGTTCTAAAACAGCATGAATACTTACAATGGGGAGGGGGGCACTCTAGTGCTTGGAGTGTTTTTTAAAAGACCAACTTTTAAGGACACTATCAAGAAAGGGGGGGGTAAGGGGTATGGCAACGCACCTCCTATCTGCTGTAATCTGCTACAAATGTAATGTGTTACTGCTAATGACATTATTTTGCTGGTTTAATTAATCTGTATTAAAAGGCAGAGGAAACATTCTAAACCTGGAATTATGGATTTAAAAAAAAATATATGTGTAATGTCCAGGTATACAGCCAGTCCATGTGATTACTGTCATTTTGCATTTGATGGTGTTAACCTGAGCTGGTGGTCTTACCTCCCGTGGGTCTGTAAGTGGCGACATTGTTCATAGTGGCTCGGGAGTGCAGTGGGCTGTAGCTGGGAAAGATGAGCAGGGCCAAAGAAAAGACCAGGATCTGTAGTGTGACAAGCACATGAGGAATACATATTACTGTAATGCCACTTGGCTCATGCCAAGGCCTCGCCATGTATATCACTGAAGACATACCAGGACACATGTACCGGTCTGAGCAGCTTTGGTGGATGTTTGTTTGATGAGGGTCTGAAGTTTACGGAGCTGAGTGATCAGGGAGCTGAATGAAAAAAAAAATAATTTAATACCTTGGGACCACTAGTTTCTTATAGACATAGTCCTCTAGTTCTGTAGATAAAGTGCCCCCTAACCCTCCAGACACAACCGCTCCACTCCATGAACCTGTACTCCCAATCCTCCCAAGTCACTGCACACAGCCCCCTTTCTGCTTCCTGACACAGTACTCAAGCCCCAACTAAAACATTGCAGGCAGCCCCTCTCTACCTTAGTGTTCTACAAACCCGCCCTTATGTTGCACTCAAGCCCTCTCTGCTTTCAAATCTAGTGCCTTTCGGTGTCCCATTTACTAGAGATATAACCTCTGTCTACCCTATGATGCAGCATAGACACTGCACACCCCTAACTCTTGATCCAGTGCCTCAACCTGCTGCCTGCAACAACTCGTGAAGCCTTCAGCCTATTCGTGGCACCCCAGAGTCCTTATTACCTCCTCAGAGCTGCCTCACCGGACTGTCTCATATCCTTTACAGTTATATACCCCTGCCTCACAGCCCAGTCCAGACACCCACAATACAGTCATTGTTAGCCGTCCACTCACATATTGTGCTTTTCCAGTTCCACAACCTTTTTGTGCAGTTCCTGATTCTGCATTGAGCAAGCAGTGACTCTAGAGATGAAGTAGAGATGGATCTTGTGAGCGATTTAATACATGTGGAGCTACATACAATATTTATATACATCATGCATTGTTAGCTGTGTGTTTAAGGTTCCTTTTGGCACGCCAGATGTTATGGACATCTCCCCTGATGCTTTACCAGCATTGTAGCTGTTTGAGCATTATGGGGGATGTAGACCACAACATCTGGAGTACCCAAAGGTTGTATACCAATCCCATGCACTGTTAGCTGTGTGTGGAGACTCTGGACGGATCCAATGTACTTACTGTTAGCTGTTTGCTGGAGATTGTATATTGAACCTGCACACTGCTCGCTGATACTGGAGATTCTAAACTGATCCCATATATTGCAAGCTATAGTTCTTATACCAGTTTCGCTAAAATGGGAATTGTTGAAAACTTAAAGTGAAATTTCAGTTTTACACAGACACGATGGTCACCAAAACAACTTTAGCTTAATGAAGCAGTTTTGGTGTATAGATCGTGCCCCTGTAGTCTCACTGCTCAATTCTCTGGCTTCTGTTTATGTTTACGCAACTTTAGCCACAGCTCCCCTGGCTGTGACTGACACAGCCTGCATGAAAACAAAATGGGGCATGATCTATACACCAAAACTTCTTCATTAAGCTAAAGTTGTTTTGGTGAGTATAGTGTCCCTTTAGGCCAAAATTTCTCCAGTTTTGCTGTTTTCATTTCAGTAATTTTTGGACTAAAATTATGAAGTTCACTTGACGTTCCTGCCCATTCAAAGCTTGGTGAATAATACTTCATATGTTAAGGGTTACCTTGCTGATAAATCACACCCTACACAGGACACACATGCTGTCTGCTAATTTCTGTACATCGTATATTCAAATTACAGTTTGTGTAAATATTTTTAGACCTGCTTTCCAGTCCGTCAATATATTCTTTCTTCCGTCTTCGGCTGTCCTGGGCTGATTGCTTGTTGCGTATCTTTCTCCGTACCTTTTTTAGAATTCTTTCCTCTGCCTGAATGAGACTAAGAGCGTAAGGGGCACGAAAGAGCATGGCAGAAAAGAGTTTATCAAACAAGGGTAGTCTAAATAGGATCTGCAGCAAAGTCACCTCAGACCCCACAAAGAGGATTGCCAAGTAAACAGTCTTACCCAAAGATCATATCATCTCACAAATCTTATTCCTCAGTTAAAAATGAAAAACTTAGCTTTACTAAGCACTTGGGGTACAGTGGTTTGCTTTGCATTCCCTTTTGTGGTGTCCAACGTGATTTAGCTGCTTCAGCTACCTATAGTGAAGTCCTTATGTCAAGTCAGCTTGATCTACGTTGCTCAAAACATGATTGTTCTATATATTAAGTTTTCTGTTAAGTTAGAGACTCTTAGCTTTTTCCTCATCTAATGCTACAAAGAGCAATGTTAAAGGCACACTCCAGACCCCTAAAGCACTTTAATTTGCTGAGACTGTGTCCTATTTTTGCATTTTACAAAAAGTGGAGATTTCAATAGAAATGTACACTATTATAAATTAAACTTGTTACATCTCCCCAGCCTGTCAATCCACTGGTCCTGTTACTTACTGGTTGTTAAGCTCAGGGGAGTTAAACTCAAGAGGCAGTAAGTGGCCAGAGCACCTGCCTCGTAAATACTTATCATTGAGCTGCTTTGGGAAGTCTGTGATTGGTCAGCCACAGAAAGTCTAGGCGGGGTTAGAATGGAAGGACTTGCAACGGCTGCAGACAAGAGAACTGCAGCTTTTGAAAGCTGTTTTCGATATCACCCGATTGGGAAAAAAAAAAGCTTGCCTGTTTTTATTGCATATCTACTAAATAGTGTCTGTTTAACAGTTTTAGACTGTAGACGTATCTTCTAGGAAGGGGGTATAGTTCCTAATTAAAGTGACTTATCTAAAAAAATTGTATACATCTGTAACAGTCTGTAAATCAAATATTTACTAAAGCAGTGTGTTTAACCTTACTTGACGTGGAGCCAAATTATGTACTCTGCATTCATTAATTTGGCAACCCGTCCTTAAAATTTAAAATTAGCTCAGTTACTCATTCCTCAACTGGGATTTAATATATACAAAACATTTTCATTGAATCTTCCCAGTGCCCTGAGGAAAGCAGAGCTCCTAAACAATTATCTATGACCTGTTACCGGAGATCTGATGAATATGATTTGCCTTTCCGATCTATTGGGAGACTCCTGAAATAGTACTGGGACACAATTGTAGTTGCAGTGCACAGGATTAAGGACCACTAAAGCTAGCTTGGCTGATGTTCTTCTGGAAGTCAGTTCAGTTATATCCCACAGGAGTACATGTCTGGCTTTGTTCAAAGTTAGGCCTGTAGACCGCTACATGGTTTAACTTGTCTGTGATAGCTGATAGGTTTAGCATTCAATGTAGGTAAAGCTGCAAAATTTAGTATGTGGTAAACTTAAGGGTTTGGGGATAGATCTATGGGGCTAATTGCAGCGGTCAGTATTAATTTTATAGAGTGTAAAGGGTTTCTCCGGGCACATTGACCACTAAACTGTATGTGCAGCATTTCTTGGAAACACACTCTGCTACCACAGGTGTAATCCCACCTCTGGCTGCATCATTGGGTCGTCATTCGTTCGCCCGGAACGAGAGTTCCATTTTGGCTAATGTCAATTCTGTGTACATTTTGATGCAGACTCTCATTTACTGGCTAAAAGCGATTAGCATCTGGCTTCTTCTGCTCTGTAGAAGCCAGGTGTCGTAAATCTGCCTTCAGAGAAGAGTAGGAGCCCAGCATGATTCGGGGAAGAGGGGAACCATTACAGAACACTTTGCTCCATTACAAGTAAATGGTGCAGGGCACTCCCACCATCGTAACAGCTACAGCAGGCTGTAGTGGTTATGATGGATGTGGTATCTATCAATTGAGTGCAACTTGCATTTCTGGAGTGATTTTTGAAAATGTCTTTATGTAAAAAAAAATATATTTATTGATTTTTTTTTTTCACTCTATTGGTCACTTCTTACATGCTCTGTGAATAAAATCAACAATTTAGCCAACTTCTCATTTTGCACTGTACCTTAGTGAGCGGTAGGTTATTAGGCAAGGCTACCCCTTCTTGTGAAAGAAGCCTTTTCTCCTCTTCAGTCAGGTGCAGCTCTGGGTACTGAGAAGAAGACACCATTAGCATTCTGCTATAAACTGACTGAGAACCTCAAGATAATCACAGCTGAAAGAGCATAAGACATACCAGTGAGTCCATGGAGAGCAGGTCTTGTGTGTTGTCTCTAATGGGTAGAACTGTAGACTTGCAAGGTACCGGCATGTGAACAGATGGCAGTTCATTAACTATACAGCTGTCAGGGATCAGCACTGGAGAGGGCCAGTCCTCTGTAAGCGGAATACAAGTTAACCAGGTTGCCATTGTATAGGACCATTTTGAGGCTCAAAGGATACCCAACTTATGGCACCATCACCTGTGGTCTACAACTAAAAGGCTGAGCACTTTCCAGTCTTAGCCGGAAGCTGAGCATCCAACGTGAGTTATTGGCTTGACCCAACATGCAAATTTAGATATAATCCCAAAATTATGTAAATCCATATCCTGGGTTCAAATGATAACCTATTTATCTATGCAGAATACACACTGTAAATAATCTTTGCTTACTACTAAATACTCGATAGATTTAGAAAGTGAAACCTAGCAGGAGGAACTTGAATTCTGGCAATTATCGAGCACTCTTAAACATGGTCTTTAGTGGGGCCAATCTACCTTAAAAGACTGATTAGTCATCTTTGGGAGACCAATTAGCAGCTTTTAGAGATTTATTAGCTCTTTTATTAGATGGGCTAGATCCTTTTAAAGACTGGTTAGCTGCTCGTTTGAAAATGATGCTATAAAACAGGCAGTATCTGTGATCAGCTTTAAATTATGGACAAATTTTTGTAAAAGTCGGTGATCTGGTACATCTATATTTAATATATAGTAAAAAAACACAGTAGGCACTGACGTATGCATGTCTCTGGAAAGAGAATAGTTTTTCAGATTTGGCAGTATTATACAAGGGTAGCAGTTAGTGGGTAAAAAACTTTGATTTCTTTGCATGCCTATTAGAAAAAAAGACAAGGGGCAATTCTGCTCAAACTTGTCCACCAAGGGTCTCCCCTTACACTTTTATATATATTTATTGTTGTCACCCTTCCGTACCAAGCTGAATTGAGATTACACTGCTCATCTCGTTATGGCTTCTCCTGTCCTCCAGAGAGCCAACATCATAAACCAGTTCATACACAGGTGTAGGCTGGGGCAGTGGTGTACTTGGCTCCCCCTGAACGGGTGTATCATCAGGCTGTGGATCATCTGAGAACCCACTGTCACTTTCAGGGGATTCAGACATTCCTGTCTCCGTGTTGTAGACCTCATTCGGGTTAATCATCATCTGCAAGTACTCATCAGTGTCTTCTCGCTCATTCAGCCCCTAAAATCCAAAATTAGATGGCACTTGATAATAACAACAGGAAGGTAAAAGGCAATATATTTAAAAGATGGGGGTTCAGAGAGTCCACCTCTTAAAAAAGCTGGATCTCAATGTTTTTAAAAAAAAAAGAAGAAGAAAGAGAGAGAGAAATAAAAAGGAGCTAAAAAGGAATTAGGGTCGTAGTTTAAAGGGGAACAGTCACTTCCCACAATTTCTAATGTTATGTTTATTTATCCACTTTCTTTTCCAAATATGTTTTTGTGAGATCTGAAAAAGGTAAGTTTAGAAATGTACACCTCTATCTTTGAACTGGGTGGCTCCATCTTGGCTCTCTGTCAATCACAGTTATATATGTTTTATTTTCTTCTAATGAATATAATTGAAGGTAGGACCTGGACTGAACTAAATTGTGGTGTCACTTGCGAAATCTTTAATATAAATTTAAAAATAAACTGGGCATCACATTAAACCAGATTAACATAAATTACAGATGGCTTCAATGTTTTATTCAATAGTATAGTTTCCAACAAGTGACAGCCCTGCTTTAAGGAAATAGCATATTTACTAACAGAATAATATTGGCAACTGGAGGGAGGCCAATTTAAAGTAAAACTCATTGGTACAGTTATGAAGATTAGAGAATACAGACGGTAATTAGATCAGATTGTTTCTGCTGTTTCTGAGGAGAAGACCAGTTTGGGTGAAAGACGATGCTTTTTAAGGAGTAGATTTTCATGACATGAAATCGGAAGAAGGTTTTTTTTCCATGTTAAGAGGGAGAATGAACAGGATTGGAGGAATTAAGGTTGATAATAAAAGTTGTGTTTATTTGTTAAATTACTAAACCTCTCCCCTCACTCCACACCTTCTTTTTGGTGTTGAGAACTTTAATTCCTGTTGTATTGTTATCAAGGTTGATGAATTCCAACTTACAGTAGTTCTGCTCGCATGCCAGTCTTCGTATAACTTCTCAACAGAAAAACCGTGAGGCTCAGACAGAGGAAACGTGCTAGAATCAGTTCCTGAAAACCCCTCCGAGTGAAACAAGTCTTCCTGCTGTTCGAATATGGACCCTAGCACTAAGTCTCCTCTGGTCGATTCCATGTTTCCAGGATGGAGAGGTCAGAGGTCCCACACTGGACCCCACTGTGAAGATAATGACAGACAATTGGTTTAATATCTCCCCTTGGAAAAACCAGAGAGAGAGAACAAAGCCCAATATTTTAGTAACCGTATACCATTTTTGCAACTTCTTACAGGCAGATTTTATAGATGAAATATTCTTTACAATGTGTCTTCTATAGTTTATGAAGAGCTTGCATGTGGTAAAGCCCTCTTTGGATGCTTACCCAATACTGTGTGTACAGTCATGTTTACAACACACATTCTAAAGCTACGTAACTACTACTATATTTTCAGAAACTTAAATGACATAAGACCGACTACTTACTGTAAAGTAATTGTGAATGCCCATGTTTAATATCTGGTGTATTATTGGACAGCGGTTATACACACCCCACAATTTATTATCCATTCAGTAAACACAATACAACAGTGGGTGATAACAGATAAGATCCGCTTTCTCCCTAAGTAGTGCATGTTTACCTTTTGCATGCTACAGTATTTCTGTATTTAAAAGATTTAGCGAATTATCTTGATGGCTATCTAAAGGGTCTGTGAATACATTCCTCCAAGTAATTGCTGCACCCACCCACAATGATATGCAATTTCATCCATAATCCATTTGTGGGAACCACTAATGCGTAACCATATCAGTTTATTATTGGAGATGTCTTGCTTAGTCTCTCTCCATTTACTTATAAGGTTCCTTGTTGTGCAAGTACAGCTTATTAAATTAGAAGAGCTCTTTTCACATCACGGTGATCTCAAACAGCAACCCTAAAGTTTTTAATTATTCAAAGAATAAAATATGCCTAAATTAATTTACAGAATGTCTAACTTATTCTTGCACTTGCAAGATCAACTGCATTTTCTAGGGTCACACAGATGGAAAGGACATGAAAAGTGTTGTCTCAATGTATACAGGATTAATGTGCTTGGACCAGGGCAGCATTTTTATGTCCTGCCTATCAACACAATACAGTAATATGCACCCAGGAAATGCGATGGATCTAGTAAACACAATTGTTCTGGTACAGGATACCTGAGATAGATGTACCTGCTTTAGCTACAGATTTCAATATAAAATACTTAGGATTTTATTAAAACCAGCTAAGGGTCTTAACCCATTGAGTGCATTAACAGGCATAGTGCCTTTCTCAAAGCAAGGGTACAGAAAGAATTCCTTATCAAAGCAATACTCCAAAATTCGGTTTAGATCCTGGACATTATTATGAAGACTGGCATTTAAATTGAATTGTGTGCATATTATTAATGACACCATAGCCACCACATATTTATCACAGGAACCTTACAATCCCACACCCCCTGCTACCAACATTTACTGCACTGCTTTTAGGATACAGTGATTGCCAAAATACCAATATAATACCATTTAAGTCTGGTCACATGCAACAAGCCACTAAACCATAAATTGGTTTGCAAGATGACTGTCCCAAATAAATGGTTTATTAACACAGATAAATCTTATAGTCCAGTTACGATGCACAGAGGTATCCACCCCCCTAGTGCCCCCCTCTATGCCCGAGGATCAGTCATTTTACAGTAGGTTCAGTATTTTTTATAAAAGCCACATTTCCTGAAATTTCCCAATGTTTTTTTACCCCTTATTTCCCGAGGATTTAGATTCTGGAATAAGAGTAGATCACTTACCCCAATGGAGTGAGTTGGTTGACAGAAGCAAACTAACAGCAGGTTAAAAGTTCTCCAGGATCTACATCCTGTATGGAAATGCCAAGTACCACCCTCTGTGCTTAAAAGGGAAACCGTGCCTCTTGTTTGGCAAGTTTCACAAGCCCGACCCTCCTACCTGTCTCCTCCTAGTTGCACCTGTTGCACAGGTTGGTTTTTGAGATGGTAATGGCTGTGCGAGGCAGGTGACTGAGATTACAGAGGTGTGTCTGTACAGAGGAATCAGTGTGTGACAGATCAGGCAGAATGAGGGAGAGTTCCTGGGAGGGATGCTGTCATTCTGCTGAAAAATTAGTAGATACATAGGGTTCTATTGGTTAAATCAGGAATTATGAGGAATCGTCAAGGAAAACATTAAGCTAAAATTGACAAACTGTATAAATAGCGCAGAATTTTAATTTTAGATCAGCTGTTTTGTGGCCTAAATCTTACAACTCGCACTCTCACACTGTTTTTTGGTTTACTAAATCCTGTAGATTAGCCGTGTGAGAGACCGGGGGCACCTAATATATACAAATAAATATATATCCATCCATTGTAATAAGCACTGTAATATATGTTGTATATCTCCAACCTTGGTAGAAGCGCTGCTGATGTATATATTTTTTTTCTTTCAATCAGTCTGCAAGTTGCCTTGTGCATGTTTGCAGCTTATGTCACAAGTGACAAATTAGATGTTATTAAGCTTTACTGTGTTTTGCTCCTAATCAATTAAAATGCAACGATGGCAGCTTGTAATCTTATACGAAGATTTGCATTGAGATATATAATATGCATTGTGTATTTTGCTGCACGTTTGTTGCAAAATTTCCAAATATATTCCTCTAAACGGGACAAGATCACCTTTGAATTAGCATGATGTACCTGTTAAAACCATTGATGACCCACTGATAGAGCATGTTGACCAAGGAGTGAAAGGGGCAATCCATTCACCCTCACATGTTTGTTGCCACGAGCAGGTTAGGTTACTGTTTGCTGTGCTATATTTCCTGTGTATAATGACTAAGATGAAGATGATTGATAACCAACAATTTTGTAGTGTACTTCCTCCAGCAATTTTCCAAGCTCTCCTTTAAGTAAAAATACCTTTATTTTCTCTCTTAGGGGCTTAATATACAGACCACCCAGTCCGCTGACACCCTGTATTTGTACATTACATTTGACAAACACCTAACCAAGCTCCCTAGTGTATGAAGAAATATTTAATTATCAGGAGTTTATATTACTGTAGCAGCTAGGACGACATCTCAAGGTGAGTCTGTAAGTGCAATTAGAACGTAAATGTTGAGCAGTTTGTTATTCACCATATGTGAGGGATTAGTAGGAGATGTGGTATGCTGGCTAGATCACATGTGATAATTTAAGTATTTTCATTAGGGTGTTCCAATTAATACTTTTTTTAATTTCAGAACGTAAGTCTCCTTGTACTTTAAAGAACCCAAATATATATTCTGCTGCAATATCCCTGTAGTCACATTATCATGGCTGGAGTGAAGTCATAGGGTCACATTACAGAATTGGCCTCATTTCCATGGACTATTTGCCCTGCATGTGTTTTCTTTCGGTGGAATAACAGGCCACAGATTACAAATCTCGACTTGCCATTCGCAAAGTTAGAGCTTGCGTGCTCTTACTCATAAGGCATTTGGGTATTTTGTACACACAACAAAAGTGTTAGAATAATTTCCTCTACACCAGAAATCAATAGTGTGGTGAAAAATACACTTATCTCAATGGATAGTGGTAACAGCTTCCTCCAGCGATATCCCAGAATGTATTCCTTTATATACAATATAGGTACAACCAACAAAATGGAGAATACAGCTGAAGAATTGAAGCAAAGCAGAAAGCTCTGCTGGCGGAGCAAGTGCGAGTGAGCATAGAGCAGAGTAGGGATGGGGTTTAAAGGAAGCATTGGTACGGGTAGAGGACAGATTAGAAATCTGTTCCCTGATAAGGGAAATTCTTTCAGTGTATTGTATTGAGAATTTTGTAGCGGTAAAGTTAGTAGGAGGAGGAGAAGCAGCGACAGGGTGAAGTAAAGAGTTAAAGGTGTGAAAGAGGCGTTTAGGTTCTCGGGAGAGCGTGGTTATGAGGGTATTGAAGTAGTTTTCTTTTGCGGAGATAAAAGCCAAACTGTACGAGTGTAGCATACATTTATAGTGGAGGAAGTCAGGCACCAAATTAGACTTTCTCCAGCAGTGTTCAGCAGCTCTGAAACATTCTTGGGTGTAATTGGTGAGCTTAGTGTGCCAAGACTGTAATTGGGGTTACTTACAATGTTTAAATATAGATAGTGCCATGATATCTAGTTCAGAGGTGAGGGGGGATTTGCAGAGCTAGACCAGCTGAGGTTTAAGACAGGTAAAAGGAGAGTTTGGAGGTTGGTGGAGAATCGCGTTAGGTCAGGACAGTGAAGGTTTCTATGACATCTGAGTTCTGTTCAGGTTTGAGCCTGGACACTTTTAACTCGGGCTGCGGGAGAGATATTAGGGTCAGATATGCCTGCAATAAACCTATGGGATGGGGAGATACATCTATGCACAGATTGGGTGAAGCTTAGGCAAGTAAAATAAACATTGGGGAAGATATCAATTAAAAAAGGAGGGGGGGGGGGAGTGCAGAAATCACAGTGAAAAGTAGGTGAATAAGCAATTAAGTAGGCAAGCTAAATAAATGGAGTAGTGCTGGTAAAACGAACACAAAAGATATAGACTAAGAGAAAAATAATGAATTGTACTTTCAGGCATGTTCTACTACATACTCCCACCTCCATTTGCATCCATCTACATCCCTTGAGTGCATCAATGGCGCTCATAGATACCTGAACCAGATTTGTGGAATGCGATAGGTTCAAACCATAGACATACATTTATTGACACATCCTCAGCTGGGATATTAATATTTTGTCTCTTTGTAATACAGGGAGTGCAGAATTATTAGGCAAGTTGTATTTTTGAGGATTAATTTTATTATTGAACAACAACCATGTTCTCAATGAACCCAAAAAACTCATTAATATCAAAGCTGAATATTTTTGGAAGTAGTTTTTAGTTTGTTTTTAGTTAGCTATGTTAGGGGGATATCTGTGTGTGCAGGTGACTATTACTGTGCATAATTATTAGGCAACTTAACAAAAAACAAATATATACCCATTTCAATTATTTATTATTACCAGTGAAACCAATATAACATCTCAACATTTACAAATATACATTTCTGACATTCAAAAACAAAACAAAAACAAATCAGTGACCAATATAGCCACCTTTCTTTGCAAGGACACTCAAAAGCCTGCCATCCATGGATTCTGTCAGTGTTTTGATCTGTTCACCATCAACATTGCGTGCAGCAGCAACCACAGCCTCCCAGACACTGTTCAGAGAGGTGTACTGTTTTCCCTCCTTGTAAATCTCACATTTGATGATGGACCACAGGTTCTCAATGGGGTTCAGATCAGGTGAACAAGGAGGCCATGTCATTAGATTTTCTTCTTTTATACCCTTTCTTGCCAGCCACGCTGTGGAGTACTTGGACGCGTGTGATGGAGCATTGTCCTGCATGAAAATCATGTTTTTCTTGAAGGATGCAGACTTCTTCCTGTACCACTGCTTGAAGAAGGTGTCTTCCAGGAACTGGCAGTAGGACTGGGAGTTGAGCTTGACTCCATCCTCAACCCGAAAAGGCCCCACAAGCTCATCTTTGATGATACCAGCCCAAACCAGTACTCCACCTCCACCTTGCTGGCGTCTGAGTCGGACTGGAGCTCTCTGCCCTTTACCAATCCAGCCACGGGCCCATCCATCTGGCCCATCAAGACTCACTCTCATTTCATCAGTCCATAAAACCTTAGAAAAATCAGTCTTGAGATATTTCTTGGCCCAGTCTTGACGTTTCAGCTTGTGTGTCTTGTTCAGTGGTGGTCGTCTTTCAGCCTTTCTTACCTTGGCCATGTCTCTGAGTATTGCACACCTTGTGCTTTTGGGCACTCCAGTGATGTTGCAGCTCTGAAATATGGCCAAACTGGTGGCAAGTGGCATCGTGGCAGCTGCACGCTTGACTTTTCTCAGTTCATGGGCAGTTATTTTGCGCCTTGGTTTTTCCACACGCTTCTTGCGACCCTGTTGACTATTTTGAATGAAACGCTTGATTGTTCGATGATCACGCTTCAGAAGCTTTGCAATTTTAAGAGTGCTGCATCCCTCTGCAAGATATCTCACTATTTTTGACTTTTCTGAGCCTGTCAAGTCCTTCTTTTGACCCATTTTGCCAAAGGAAAGGAAGTTGCCTAATAATTATGCACACCTGATATAGGGTGTTGATGTCATTAGACCACACCCCTTCTCATTACAGAGATGCACATCACCTAATATGCTTAATTGGTAGTAGGCTTTCGAGCCTATACAGCTTGGAGTAAGACAACATGCATAAAGAGGATGATGTGGTCAAAATACTCATTTGCCTAATAATTCTGCACTCCCTGTATAATAACAATCTGGAAAGTGGTGGTCCTTTAAAGATTCACTTTTATGCCCTTATCCTAATTATTTTCTTTAAATTCACCTCCGTGATATTTAAAAATGTATTTATTTATTTATTTTACTTCTGAAACTAAGCACTAACATTTCAAGTCTAATTTAATTAAACATGCAGACATAGAAGCTTTACTTGAAATTTGTGGCCGATGGAAGATATACAGCTGTCTTCCCTAATGTTGCTGTCACTCATTTGGGACATTTCATTATTATGTTAAACAAAAAAGTGTCTTGGAGGCTGAGAGGGATGGATTGAAATAGTGAATAAAGTCAAAGACTTTAACATTGCCTCAATAAATTTTGTGTACTGTAGGTTTAGGTGTTGAATTGTTAAACTTGGATGTGTGAGTTAATAACTAACGTGCAAAGTTAAGGCAAAAATCATCGTATATATTTCCAAGTTCTAATCGTTACTCAGCTATGTTGGGCTAAAATCTGTCCATCAGTTGCCATCTCACCCAGCTCACTGTTTGGTGAAAACATTCTGAAAAAGAGAACTTTACAGACCTGCTGTTCCTATTACATGTCTCCTGAGATTTCTATTTGCTGTAAATGTAGTGGGTTCATGAGCCAGCCTCCTTGCAGAGATGGTACTACATTCACCTAACATTATAGGATCACTAAAGGGTCAGGAACACAAACATGTATTCCTGACCCTATAGTGTTAAAACCACCATCTGGGCCCCTCATGCCTGCATAAATATAGCAAAATCTTACTGTATTCAAGCCAGAAGCTGTAACTCTGTATGCTGTTTGCCTCAAAAGAAAACAAGCAGTCTGCTGACATCATCAGAGTTGGTGGCCTGATCCAATCACAATGCTTCCCCATAGAATTGACTGAGACTGACAAAGCGGCAGATCAGGGGCAGAGCCAGCATGATTCAAACACAGCCCTGGCCAATCAGCATCTCCTCATAGAATTGAATCAATGAAT